AGTTTTTACAAATATAACTTTGTCATTATTGAGCCGGTATACATATACGTGTAAATTATTTGTAAGAAATTTGTTAGAATTTACTGATACATAAGAAGGAAATTTTTTCTTTATCTTCTATTGTTGCATTGAAATCTAAATTTTGTCAAATCAAGTCATATCATAGTATCCTTCGGTGGATTTCCAAAATATTTTAGGGCCAAAAAAAAACCACAGCGAATATACTTTAAAAATTCTTGCATATTATACTGCTATCCATGCCAAAATTTTCGTCTTGGATCGGGTTGCCAGTTGAGTCGTTTGCTAATCAATGACATTATTTAACGCATCTTATAAAATGACTGTCATTTTGGGGCAGTGAATGCAAATGTGTTCATAGGAAAAATATTTATGGTTGATCAGTAACCTAGAACCACACTGATATCACTGAAAAAGGAACAGAAGATACAGCAACTGCATATAAATCTGCATTAGAGTTGCGAAAATAAATCATCAAAATCATTGCAAAAAGTAGTAAGGAAGAAGGAACTAACTTTATATACATAAAGAAAAACGTTATTTTGCCTTTTTAAATGAAGTTGTAAATCCATCCACAACTGTAAAGACATAGTAACGGATGAAATACTATTGATTCTATAAAAATTAATTTATTTAAGTTTGCCAATTAATTATAATTTATTATGGTAGAATAGAATAAACATCTGACAACTAATGGCAATTCTATCGTATTTATTGTTTTTATTTTAGCAACTCAATCTACGACAAGCACTCCTAATTCTACACCAACAGCATCAACAACAACAACACCAACAATAACAAAATCAACAACAACAACAAAATCAACAACACCACCAACAACAACAATACAAACAACAACAACATCAACATCTAAAACAACACCACCACCAACAACAACAACTACTACTGCTTCAACAACAACAAAAACAACTTCAATAACACCACCAACAACATCAACAACAAAACCAACATCAACAACAAAACCAACACTTACATCAACATCACCAACAAAACCAACAACAAGAAAAACAACAACATCAACATCACCATCAACAACAAAACCAACAACAACATCAACACCTAAATCAATACCACCAACAACTACTACTACAAATACAACACCAACAACAACAACTTCAGTAATTACAACAACAACATCAATAGCAAAACCACCAACATCAACAACAAAACCAACACTAACATCAACAACAAAACCAACAACATCAACAACAAAACAAACAACAACATCAACTACAAAACAAACAACACAAACAACAACCTCAATAACAAAACCAACTTCAACAACATCAACAACAAAACTAATATCAACAACAACAACAACATTAACAAGAAAACCACCACCAACAACAACATTAACAAGAAAACCAACATCAACATCAACAACATTACCAACAAAACCAACAACAACAACAATAACATCAAAACCAACAACAAAATCATCAACAACAAAAACATCAACTACAAAACCAACAACAACATCAACACCTAAACCAATACCACCATCAACTACTACTAAAACTTCAACAATACCACCAACAACAACTACTACTGCTTCAACAACCACAACAACTTCAATAACACCACCAACAACATCAACAACAAAACCAACATCAACAACAAAACTAACAGTTACATCAACATCAGCAACAAAACCAACTACAACAACAACAAAACCAACAACATCAACAACAAAACCAATAACAACAACACCATCAACAACAACAACAAAAACAACAATATCAACAACACCATCAACAACAAAACCAACAACAACATCAACACTTAAACCAATACAAGCAACAACTACTACTACAACTATAACAACAACAACTTCAACAATACCAACAACAACATCAATAACAAAACCAACAACAAAATCAACACTAACATCAACTACAAAACCAACAACAACAACACCAACAACAAAACCAACAACAACAACATCAACAACAAAACAAACAACACCACCGACAATATCAACAACAAAACAAACAACACAAGCAACAACCTCAATAACAAAACCAACCTCCACAACAAGACTAACACCAACAACAACAACATTAACAACAAAACCACCACCAACAACAACATCAACAAGAAAACCAACATCAACAACAACAATATTAACAACAAATCCAACACCAACAACATCAACAACAAAGCCAACAACAACAACATCAACAACCAAAACATCAACTTCAAAACCAACCTCAACACCAACAATATCAAGAACAAAACCAACACGAACGACAACAACATCTACAACAAAATCAACACCAACAAAACCAACACAAACACCAACAAAACCAACACCAACAACTATACCAACAACAACAGCACAACCAACAACACCAACAACAAAACTAACAGCAACAAAACCAACAACAACACGAACAACAAATCATACACTTACAACATCAACAACAAAAATAACATCAACAACATTATCAACAACAAAACCAACACCAACACCAAGGACAACAACTAAAACAGCAACAATAAGGCATACATCACCACCACCTACAACAACAGCACCAAAATTACCACAACCGCCAACAACAAGAACACCAGCAACAACAACAACGATTTCAACGCCACTTACAACAGCAAAAACAACAAAAAGACCAACAACAGTGACAGCCACCACACCAGTAGGTATGTATATCTTTTAAATTTATCTTTAATTCATAGATCACGATAATTTTTTTGTTAAGAAAGTAAAGGGAAGAAAAGTAAAGTAAAGTAAAGTTTTGCTATTACCTAAACTATGTTTAGTTGTGATTTTAACAAAATTGATAAATGTTAATTTTAACATCATATTTATAATATAAAACCATAAAAAATTGTGTTACAGGATCTTTCAGATTTATCAATTTTATAAGTTCCAAAAAGCCTTATCTATAAAAGAAAATATTACCGAATTTTACATTTCATGAAAATAAAGGGAGGAAATAAAAAGTTTATTTTCTCTAAAGTCTAAGTCAAATTTTTCAATAAGAAACGAATGCATATATTTTAATGATTACATATAATATGTACAAATATTTGCAGTACATATTTTACATATTCTTCGATGTTTGAAAATAGTTCTATAAGCATAATTATATACATAATTATACAGTTTCGCGCAACAAAACCACAATGACAAATCAAAGTGCTCCGTGATTCGTTGATCATGTTGCCATGGTGATTGGCGCTTTGCGAATATTACTAGTATCGTGTCTTTTTAATTTTGAAATATGTAGCAGATAAATGATTTAGCAAAATGACTGCTTATAATAAATTTATAGCCTTGTCTACGAACTTTCAGGACAACCCTCGAATGTATCAATAAGGCTTTTTGGAACTTATAAAATGTGTATCACATACGTTTAACATGTGATGCATATTTACCTGTATACGGCTGTGACACTTGCAGTTTAAGTCAACATATGCAATATCAAGTTCACAATAGATGTTGAAATATACAGACTTTGTCTGGAGCATATCTCATACACGCTTTGGGGGATTTTAAGAAAAAATCATAGAAATGTTTAACGCTGTGCGAATCAGTGTATCCCGTAAAAACAAGGTCTGTAGATCACACTGAAAGGTCATGGTAAAACGGTTGTCCGGTGCATGTTGTATGCATAAAGGGATTTCAATATAACTTGCTGCACATGTTCTTCATTGTGAGGCGGAATGTCTTGCGTAAAACTCAGGTCCCTGTGTCTAAAGGCAAGGTTACATACAGGGAAAAAAGTTAAATAAAATTATGTTAATGTGTATAGGGACCGACCATTTAGTTATCATTTACTGAAGGATTGCATCATAAATGATTATTTTCATGACTACATCTGTGACACTTGTAATTTATGTCAATATATGCAAGGAAAAGGTCACTAAAGATGATGAAATATCCGGATTTTGTCTGGAACCTTTCGCCTACACGCATGGGGACGATTATTAAGAATCTCCATTAAATGTTCACCACTATGAGCAGCTGCGTCGCGAGCATGAACCAGGGCTCTATGTCAAAGGTCAAGAACACTAAGAGGTCATTTAAAAAGGCTTGTCTAAAGCAAAACTTCTACATCCATAGAGGAATTTCAATTTAACTCTGCACATATGTTCACCATTGTAAGGGACAGTGTGGTGTGCAAAATTAAGGTCCCTGTGGTCAATGTCAAACAGAGGGGTCAAAGTTCAGATAAAAATATTAAAAATTGTATCGGGACCATTTAGTCACCATTTATTAAAGGATTATAATACAAATGGTAAACATCATGGCTACATAGATGACACTTGTAATTTAGGTCAATATATGCACGGTAATGTCAGTAAAGATGTTGAAATTTCTGGATTTTGTCTGAAACCTATCTCCTACACCACTGAAGTGATTTTAATGAAATTTCATAAACATGTTCACTTCTATTAGAAGCTACGGCTCGCCTATGATCAAGGTTTGTAGGTCAAGGTCATACTTAAAGGTCATTGAAAATGCTTTTCTTGAGCAAACTTTCTACATGCATAGAGAAATTTTGATTTAGCTTGCTACAAATGTTCCTCATTTTACCACAGAGTGTCAGGCGTAAAGTTCAGGTCCCTGGAGCCAAAGTTAAGGTCACATATAGGGGTCAAACTTCAGATAAAAAATTGAGATGGTATAAGGATCATTTAGTCATTAAATATTGAAAGATTGTAAAACAAAATGGTCGTTATCATGAATACCGCAATAGCACTTGTACTTTAGGTCGATTTATGCAAGGCCAAGGTCACTAAATATGATGCAATATCTATATTATTATGTCTATGTTCACCACATTTAATTGTATTGCTTCATACATGATCTTGTTCAAAGGTCAAGGTCGCACTCGCTATTTGCTAATTACTATGCATATCTATAATGCCCATATGTCCATCGCAAGTTTTTATAACGGGCGTGTTTTGCGACAATGTTGCAATTGTTGCTTATAAGTCTCCTAATTGATAAATGGATAAAGGCATGATTATTATGAGCCATAAATGTATACAGACAAGAATAACGTAAGAATACCTCAACTCGTATCACCTCGGTAAATGTCAAATTTTCGGTACATATCTAATCATATTCACCACCTAAAAGTTCATATCTGTTTTATGATATATTTATTGATAAATAACTTTTATCTAGTTTTTACTTATCATTTTAGATCTAGTGACTAAACTGGCGTGGAATAACTTTACATAACAATTTTACCTAATATTGTCTTGCCCTTTACATAGAAAAATAGATACCATTTTTAAAACATTATGAGCAAGGACAAAAAAGATTGTGCTTTCTCGCATTATCTGGGAATTTGATTGTCTGTTGAAGGCTTGTGGTTATGTGATGATTTTATATTACGCATCTCTTCAAATCATTAGTACTGCTTAGAATGCATTATCATATATCATGTATTTGTTCTCTGATTCAATAAAACTAAAGTATGTTTATAGAATGGTTAAAATCAAACTTGAAATATGTGTCTGGATTAACTAAAATGAAAAATAAAAAGTTTCCTTTATTTGCTGTTTTTACATTTTAATCTGAATTCTGACATGGTAGCTAAGTCAGGGGTACAATGTAGATACCCAAATTTATCCGAAAACAAAAATTCCATCATTTTTTGGCATGTCCCGTTACCACGGGGAGGAACTGTAACACGAAGGATGGAGTTCTAAGGATAACTTTTAGGGACTTCCTAGAAAAAAAAGGTACGGATTTCGTCTGAAAACTTTCGTATAAACCGAAGAAATACTCGTGAACTATGGTAATTTTCATTTTCAAAAAGGGAGTCTGTAATGCTATGTAAAACTTTTGGGATTAAGCTTGCCTGTATTATGTCTCAGAAAATACTTTTAGTCCATTTTTATCATTGCCTCATGCTTAAAATCTGGTAGTTTTGAGTAAAGATTTCAAATTATTTGTTCACTCTTACACATTGGCCTGTTTATTTGTGACTTTTTTCGTTGTCATACTTGATTACCTAATTGTAGTGTACAATTGCAAACATAAAGCCCCTTCTAACAAATTAATGCCCCATGTTTTAAATGCCAAAGAGTTTTTGTGATAACTCTGAAGGTGTCCTAGAGTTATTATAACTTTTTTGTTACTGCCGATGTGCTTTTTGCACAAAGTTACGTATTTTAACATTGAATAAGTGTGTAAATCATTATGAAACGTAATACGTTAATCCCTGGCATAAACATTGGTTATGTAATGTTGTTTTTAAGCGTATTTTAGTTCAAAAGACTTTTCTAATAAAATTTATGAGAATTCATATTGACATTTTAAAACCGAACGAATGAACTAAATTTCGTTTCTGTGTATACTGTTCGTCACTATAGTTTTATGGCCCACGTTTCCAACTACATTGTTCTTGTAAAGATAGGAATATGTAGGCATTCTTTTCACAATAAGCATTCATTTCTATCTGACTGGAATATCTGTGAGTTTTACCAATCCAGTAATTCATCTGGTATGGGGTAGGGGGATGCCAGATGATTCACTTGCAGTGGCATTCTTAAGATGACGTAGTTTTACCGTTATTAATGAAGTTGTAATTCCATATGTTGGTGTAAGAAATTAGTTACGGGTTTAATGATGTAGATTACCATGAAAACTTGTTTAATTAAGAAAAGGGATTTTAAATATAATGAGATGATTAATGCAAGGAAGAATATCTGACATATTATGTTTGCAGTTTGCATCGGAATATCTAATAGGTCCCATCGGGACGGATATTCTGATCCGACCCACAACATATTACAGATATTAATAGTCTATTTCATGATGACAACGCTAAGTTAGTATGAAATAGGTTGGAGTGTAAATTAATAATGCAAAATGTTTAAAAGCTTACACTTCAGTTACATGTTATAGTTAAAGTACATGAAACGAGTTAGTTACGAGGATATAACACTGGGGTGAAATCAAGGAATGTTTCTGCTAAAAATGGCGAGGCCGTTAGGCCAAGACAGTTTTTTGCAGAAACATACCGAGATGTCGCCCAGCCAGTGTTATATCCTCGTAACTAACGAGTTTCATAAACTATAACTGTTTTATCGCAATGGCATAATGTTTTCTTTTCTGTAATACAAATAAATAACCCAATCGATCATTTAATTTTAAATTAAATCGCTGTCCGATCGGCGATATCGGTGATTAAGAGCTTGCATATCTCGTGATATAGGTTGCTGTCGGTTACACCCCAGTAACACAGAGCCATCGATGATTGATTGTTTTTTTAGCCAAATAATTGAGTGAACCGATGACAACGTATTTCACACCGATATCACCTATTGGTCACCTGTTTTCCACATATCAACTGCTATTGGGGAAAAATAAGTTTCATCGGTGAAAAATTACCGATTGGGATTTTTAAACACGTTTAAAATTCTCGATCGGTGAAAATATTTTACAAATAACCGACAGCAACCTATATCACAAGAATATGCAAGCTCTTAATCACCGATATCGCCAATCGGACAAAGATAACCAAATATGAATCACTGGCCATATCTGACGGAACGTGTATAACCACTGATGACTAGCTATCAAAACCGATTAATCAGTGTTACGCCCGATTTAGCTCCGATTTACAAACGATAGAAACCAAAAGTATTTCAGCATTTAATCATCGACCCATTCCCGTTTGAGTTTGCTTTCTGTCACCGATGACCGTTTACACAGAAAACCAGAAATAAAATCTCGCATGACAACCGATCATAACAGCGAGTAAATTTAAAATTAAATGACCGGTTGGGGACCGACCGTCTATGTAACTGGGCCCTTATCGAGGATTTTAAACTTGTTAAAAATACCAATCGGTAATTGTTCACCGATAAAACTTATCTCTCCCCTAAAGCAGTTGATAGGTGGAAAACAGGTGACCAATAGGTGAAATCGGTGTCAAAGACGTTGTCATCGGTTCACTCCATAATTTGGCTAAAAAAACTACCGATCAATCACCGATGGCTCTGTGTAACTGGGATGTTAGAGGCGGAATGTAAACTGTTACCAATATTGATTCAAGATTAAAGGGCATTTTTCAGTGGAAATAATTTAATAATTTATTCAGCGGATGAACTTTTTGATTAAATGAGAGTAAATTTCATGTCATTATTTTTGTTTATATCTTTCAATTATTTATTTATTTTATTTTATTTTATTTTATTTGACTGATTCCTGGGAATGTTCGTTACTACTGCCCCATTTGAGCCTCTGTGAAAAAAAACTATATTGATATATACACGGTGCGAAAAAAAACAAACTCAACGGCTATATAGCAGTCGAGTTTTTTCCTATATGGATCAATGTAAAAAATGTACTGTTATATATCAATATAGTTTTCAAATGATCATTGAAGTGTACTGAGTATAATGGGTTAGTAAGAACAAAGGAAAAGTTCCAAACCATGCGATAAATGTTTTAAGCAACGGCTTTGGCTTCCCTTACGTATTGGCTTAGTAATTTGTATCATATGCTTACATAAACACGTATATTACCAAGATAACCTTCCCACCTATGCCCCTGAATCATTGTAAAACTATACCGTTACTATCAATACAGTTTTCAAATGCTTATTGAAGTGTGCTGAGTATAATGGGTTAGTAAGAACAAAGGAAAAGTCCCAAACCATGCGATAAATGTTTTAAGCAACGGCTTTTCTTAAGCCAATGATATATAGTTTGGCTTCCTCACGTAGTGGCTTAGTAATTTGTATCATATTATACCATAATATACAAGAATATAACCAGGAAAACATTCACACCTATGCACCTGAAATGTATGATCTATTTAAGACATGAAAAAATTCAACCGCGGTTGGCTCTCTTTACCGATCTCTTCAACATATTTTCACGTGCCTAACGTTTTTGAGCGAAAGAAGCTTGGAAGCTTGACTATATATTTTTGTTATCAGTTACAGCAAATGTAGCAGAGTTTCCACAAGCGGGAATGCCAATCAAACATCAGACAGAAGAATTTAGTTTTTACTGTAAAAAAATGACAGCGTACATGGTATTACTTTTGTACATCTGGACAAGTATTTAGAAGCAAATCATGCTCTTTCAGTTTAAAGGTCCTAAAGATATGGAATTCCGCAATATGGAGATTTTTGCATGTCATGTGATAATAAAGTGAATAAAATAAATGGCTTTTGCTGACTCACATCTATTATTTAAGAATTACTTTGTATTTTCATATCGTTGTCATAGAATTTTCTACGTCTCTTTGGCAAAATTTGATACCTTTTATAAATCAAAACACCATTGAAAACCTGATGACCCCACCTCATTAAATTAAGATAAAGGTAATGCATACTACTTGATATTTTTTTCTGCAAACTATTTACATGTCATTTGTTTCGGCAGACCGATAGCAGAGCTGCTTAATTTTCTCGAAAACTGGAAATAATGGAAATGTGAAGACATCGTGATTGAGTATTGGATTCAAAGCATATTTTATACTGTAAGAAACACAAACAAAAGTTATCATGAAAACTCTATTAAACCTTCAGAATGACCACAGAAATTCCGTGAAAATCGAAAAATCGGGTATACATTTATTGGCCTGGGTTTTATGTTTGCAACTTTCCATTATAATCAGGTTATTAAATATAGCAATGAAGAAGATCACAAATGGACAGGTCAATGTGTAAGAATGAACAAATAATTTGAAATATTTACTGAAAACAACCAAACTTTAAGCAAGAGGCGATGAAAAAAATGAATGACATAATACAATGTTTAATGCAAGCTTAATCATCAAGGTTTAACATAGCATTACAAACTCCCTTTTTGAAAATGAACATTACCATTTTTCACGAGTATTTCTGCGGTATATAATAAATATTACCGATGAAATCCGTAACTTTTTCTAGGAATCTCGTAACAGTTATCATTAGAACTCCAGACAAGTTATCATAAGAACTAACAGTTCCTCCCCCGTATTATCGGGACATGCCTAAAAAAATGATGGAATTGTGGTTTTCAAATAAATTTTTGGTATGTACAATGTAGCCCTGACTTAACTATCATGTCAGAATTCAGATAAAAAGGCAACAACAGCAAATAAAGGAAACAATTTATTATTTGGAGTTTCTGTCAAAGTTATTTAGATAATATTTCCGTGTTTTGTCTCATGTTCTTACTTTTAGTACTTGGGAAGCAATGTACCGGCCAAAATAGTAGTGTTTGCAACGAGATCGGGAATGCCTCGTGTCGAAACAACACATGTAAATGTTCATCTGGGTTCCGTCAAAATACTTCCAAATTGTGCGAAGAAGGTCTGTAAAGTAACAATTATTATAATAGCATGGAAAAGACATCTCCTCCCTTTTAGTGCAAAACGATTGTTGCTTCCTAGTATTATGTGCATATATACTTTAACTAAACATTATTATGATACAAAAACAAATAATGAATTAGGAAAACCCTCTCTGTATCAGGCAAAAGAACATTAATTTTAGATATTATGCCATTTAGATATTTTAAAGTTATAGTACATTATATCGTGTGACTATGAGTCATTTAATTTAATTAGACAATCAATTTAAACATTAATTTTGATATATTTGGCAATGTTAATTGTGAGATATACTTATATAATTATGTTGATAAGATTGAATTATTGCAAATTAAATTTTGTGAACAATATTGTTATTTGTCATAACATACCTATTGTATAGTTTCTTGCTCTTGCAAGGGATGAATGCTTACAGTTAATTGACTAAAATAGGAGATTAAATGCATCCAAAATATTGAAACCTATTTGAGAGAAAAAGTAACGTCAACACTATTCTGGACAATAACTAGCAACATTAAAAAGTGCCTTTCTGTTTTGGTTTTGGATACGTGTTGATCTCTTGATGTTGTCAATGCCTCAATTTATATTTTTAAACAAAGTTTTGTTAACTGTTTTTTTTTTATTTACAAAAAGCCTTGTATTATAAGTATTTTTAAACTATAATTTAATGCTGACATTTTATGTTAGGTTAAGCATTAAAATGTAGAAATTGGTAGACATATTCGAATAGACCGAACTGATATTCGTGTAATTGATAGAATACAAATATTTATGTATAAAAGTACAAATATGTTTTATTCTCCGAATGTTTGCCCGATAATAAAATAGGAGCTATTTGTTATAAAGATACTTTGAATAAATAACGATTCATTTATGTTTTCCCTCTTGTTATCAACAACAGTAGATGAAGTTATCCCAGTTGCTAAATACTTATGCCAATATTATATGTATCATTCACCAAGTTATATTGTTTTAGTAATTGTTCACAATATCATTTTTCCATAGTACATACAAACGATTGCACGACCGAGGACAATTGCAAAACTTTATCAAATTCTGTGTGTGCCGAAGAGAAATGTTTATGTAAAGAAGGATATTACTATAACCCAGTTATCCATTCGTGTGAGGAAGGTAGGTAGCAGAGAATGAAACTAAACGTTTCTTTTGTTATACGATTTTATTTTAATAAAGTTTGTGATGATTATAAAAACAATATTTGTAAGTACGAAGAGGATATATAAATATATACCAAACACAAATCTTGTACACCGAAATTGCAAAAAAACAAGTAAAGAAATGTGTTCGTCACGCTGGAAAACATTCGAATTTTAACACTTTAACGTAATTGTGTTGTGTCTACCTTGCATATACTGCACATCATCTTAGTGAGATTATATACAATGTCTTAATTAACACGCATAGATCTGTCGCATTTTCAAATTATGTTTTAGAATCCTAATGAGATGTCAACTATAGCACCTAGTGGTGTATCTTGCACCGGTATTAACTATATATGTTTTTTTTATCTTAGCAACCGATTTTACAAACGTTGCTGTTTCATGCCGATGAACATGGAGTATATCTTTATGCGAAACTAACCCATATTTTAATTTATTATCATAACTGATAAAAAGAAAACACATTGCCTTTTGTCCATATACTGAGCAGATTTTATAAAACACGTCTTTACACCCTATGTCAAGGAAACAACTTTTCTTAATACAAGACCGTATTTCAAGGGAATAGACTGATTTGCTACCAACCATTTGTGTGTAAAACTATACGAGTAGACTATTTATAGCGAGCCTTTAACCCAGATAAAGTGAACGGATTTAAATTAATGTGGTATCAATATTGAAAAATATAATGTTTTATTAGATTCATTTATATTTGAACACTCCTTATATATTCTACGGTTGATTAGATGAAACGAAAATGTTAAAAAAGTACTTCAGAATTGACAAATTTGCGTATATTATACATTATAATAAAGTTATATTTACTAAATAAAACACAAAGCGTTGCTCAAAGCACTTTTTTTATTATTTTCGAACATCAGAAAGGTATAAAGATATTAGAACTTTATTGAATGTATTACAGGGTGCAGATTGCCTAACGCAAACAATACTCGGTTTACCACAGTGACACAAGACAACAAACTGTATCACCAAGGACAAACAATTTCATACCAATGTGAAAATGGATACGAATTCACAAAAGGTGACAATTCAAATAAAACCTTTAAGTGCAACTCTGATGGACAATTTGAGTATTTAGAACCATGCACAAAAGTAGGTATGTTAACTTTACAACATATATTTAACGACACAATACAATTATTATATAGCGGGTAAAAAAGTCTGTTTAAACAAAACCTTTAGTATTGATTTGATACTGATGTTAAGGCTCAATTTTTAGGTTCATTATAAGTTATCATTAAGACGATATGCATTGATAATTGCTATCACAAAAATTAAAAATGTAAATATTGTAAGTAGAATAGCATTAATTTCGAACTATGGAATTTAAGCTTACAAATTCATAATAAAATTATCAAATATATCTTTTGTGTTATGTTCAAAACATATGGACATTAATAAATGAATTGAAAATAATTCAAAGCCTGTAACAGTTGCAATATTTTTCATAATTGGTCTATATGCCCTGTCCCACAACATTCAATGATTAAGTTTTCCTTTGTTTTCAATTGAAGGTTGGATTAGATGTAAAGAAACTTTAGAATAAATGAAATGAATGTAGGATCACACGATTATTATTGTAGACATTGTTATATTTGTTTTTGTTGAAAATGTGTACTGTAACATAAATAATATTTATATATTATGCAAATCAGATGGAAAACTCTGCAAAGAGAAAAATCCCTGCAACGTAATAGTTTCGAATTAGAATGTATAAAGAAAATCTACGAATGTCAAGTAGTCTATATCATAACATTTGAAATTCTAACAAAGATCAAGTAACACTCAGTTTAAGGTCTCGGCCCAGTGAATTTTCGTACTCTTTGTTCTATAGTAAATCAGTCACATTTAAGGCTTAATTCTAGATTCCACTGTTCTTGATGAATGCTATACTGTATTGAACACTATCTAAGTCAAACGAGACCCGAGAAGATATGCTGGTAATCTACTTTTTAAGAAATCTTTATTATACTTTAACACTGTTAAAATTCACCACTTCAAAAACTTCTGATTGATGGCGGGTAGTTTTGTTTGTTTGTTTGTTTCATTTACGCCTTTTCCCAACAGTATTTTAGTCATATAGGCGGGTAGTTTCCTAACCATCGTTCCTAGATAGTTACACCAGTATTAGACTACCTTCCTCCGCGCATAACTACCAAAGCATCTCCCGGGGATCGAACCCACGCCAGAGAGGTAATTAACTGGATTAGAAGTCATTGACTCTAACCCTAGATCACGGAGGCGGTAATGGCGGGTAGTACTTTAATCTTTAATCCTTTTGCCAACAGATGTGTTACTAGAAAATACACAAAACAACTTTCAAAGTCATGCATACCACACAAAAACTACTCAGATGCAATTTAATCACTTTTATTATGACCAATCAAACTAGAGATGACTTAAATTGGGCCACTTCAAAATTAAAAAAAAATAATATATATATCTTAACAACAACGGGTTGAGTCTTAATCCGTACCAGGGATGAGACCACTTTAAGTTAGGCGAACAATTTCGTAGTAATATAGTGTGCTACAAATACAATTATTTATGTTGACATGTCTTTTACAAAAACTTAAATGCAATGCAGTACCAGTTCTTAAATATATTTCTTCATCAGACTCAGTCAATAGAATTTTACGCGAAAACTTATATTACGAATATTGTCATATCTTTTGAGTCTACACGACCAATTTATACAAGTCACCTTCTCAGTAATCGTTTTCTATACTTCATGTTTTATCTTGCATTATTAAATGCAGACGTTGGATAATGTTTTTTTCTGAATATAGTTTACATTTACAAAACTTCTGTGTTTGTTCTCATTAACAGCCAGTTATTATCATTTGAAACGTAATTAAACATGATATATCTTATGTTTATTTGCGAAATATTAATGTGAGTAATTGTTTACTTTGAGATATTTATCAATATTAGACGCCGCGTGCATGAGGCGGCTAGTTAATATGCATTCATCCATACAGCATTGGGGAAGTTTTTTTATCTTGCTTATATTTATCATATTTTGTTTTAACAAAATCGCACTGTTTCAGTTTGTCTTTAAGTCTTGCTTTTGTTTATTTTGTTATGAATAAACAAATTTACACTTTTCTCAGCTTCTCTGTTTCAAAATGTTTCAAATTATTTTAGTGAAATGTTATGTATGCATTTACGAAAAAATCAAATAGTACCCTGTATCAATTTTTCTCAGTATATCTTTTCTTTTTAATGAATCAATGTCTTTAGAAGCCTGTAATAATGTCATTTAGTTTACAAATTTAAACTTTCAGTGTGCACGATACCAAACAGTGATAAAATGAAGAATGCAAATGTGGTGTTTGCTAACAATATGACTGACAAGACTGAATTCGAATACAACACGAAACTTCAGTACAAATGTGTAACTGGTTATGGCTTTGCAAAGAACGAAAAGGGTTATTCGTCAAAGGATATAAGTTGTCAGGATAATACACAATTTTCACCCATTCAATCATGTGTTAAAAAAGGTTTGTGAACTTGAAAATTAGTAATGTTTTATATAGAATCTTATTTTTTGCAGCATTTATAATTCTGAAACTTAGAAATAACCGGAGAGATTTTAGTCAAAGTATCAAGGTAGCAAACAACAATCGTCTGATGCAAAATAACATTGCGATTCTTTTTTCAGCTTAACAATAACATATCAACAATATGATGATACAAAGCAATAAGAGCATAGATATAAGCAAAATATCAGAGAAAAACTGGAAAAAAAATTTTTTAAACTGTGTAGAGATATCTGACAAAAGGAGTGGTCACTCTTTGTCAGCGGAAACAGCGAAGAGACAAACATGTACAAAAACATCGCTAAATTAAGATAAATACCAAAATTGCGAAATTTACCGTTCGCGGAAAATAATGTGACATACCGTATATATAAAATATCTCCACATATATATTATCTAAATAACGACCAGTAAAAAGTGGTTTTATGTTGTAAACTAGAAAGCGTAGTTTTTCCAAGTGATATAATGTTTATTTTTGTTGAAAATAACTGTATTATTATTACCAAACTGGAGTGGTAAGTGATGAATACGTTTTGATCAGCATAGAAAAGCTCAATCTAACCGAATATGGCTGATTTCATGTTCGATTTTAGGCTGAAGAGTGTGCTACATTCGACCGACAATATCACTCGTGTGCCTTTTCTGTTCGTGACATACGGTCCGACACACATATATTTATCATTTAGTATGAAAAAGGAGCATTTCAATGTTTCATCTCCAATTTTTTTAAGTTACTCACTAGTATATAAATTTAAGTGTGAATATTTAATCCAACAGGTTAATATTTAAAGAAAAATAACGTATTCAAAAAGAATTTTATCCATTATATCGTAAGCGATGTGGTTTAGTCATGTCCATGCCTGTTCCAAATATCAAATAAACTGAAAATACTAAAATTTTAAGATGATAACCCTTAAACATAAAAATTATGAAATAAGAAGAAAATATAACCGACAGATACAAATGAAATTCTTGTCACGTCAAAACATGAGATTCAAAATTATAATAAAACTTTAAAGAAATGAAAAAAATGAATATTCACAGTGTTAATAGACACCGATTGAGTTTTATGTAGTGTGGAACTTTGCGCTCATTTTAAAATGTGAAAATAAAATATTTTATTGTTATACGTAGGCATAACACTGTGTTAAGTCATAGCATAAACATTAAAAATAAACATACAAATGTAATTGATTCGAGGTTTGTTATTACGAATGGGTCATCTCAATACTATCAACATTATACTTTATGGTACTACCGACTTTCTTTTACTGTAAACTTCACGTTACTTAAAGATCCTGTGTCACAAAATCAATTATATTTTATCTATTTTTAAATATAATCTCTTATAAACCTGTTTCTAGGAATAGACAGTTATAATACTGACCAGTGTAAATAGTTTTCTTCATACCTGAGTGAACACTTACCTGTATTAGTTAGCTGGCCAATGTGTTAAAAATGTACTGTTATCTATAGTTCATATAGGTTTACACTCAGTCAGTTTTGCTCAGTTTTATGAAGAATTATGATGTTAGAGCTTGGCAGAATTCATTATTTAAATTTAATGAAAATGGTGTTCATTTTATAAAGCCATTCTAATGACAAGCTTTATTTAACAGTGACTGTCTACCTAGATATCAGGGTAAGTGAAATATTTAATTATTTGCAAATTGTAAATGTTTTTCATTGATTTCCTTTGTACATGGAAAATTATTTGATAAAAGTAAAGTTGTTATATTGAATAAGTTGAATAAGTTTAATTGTAAATATGGGTTTATTTTCATATACTTTTCTTTCATACATTTGTATTACTACTCAAATTTAATGTGTGTAAAATATTTAGTAAGAAAATGTCTTCATTGATAGGTCATGGGGCTGAAGGACATATCAATGTCAAGAGTGTGCATGGTGCTATGGTTTTATTAGTGTGAAGTACTAGCAACTGAATATCATACAGTATTTTGTATTATGCTGAGAGTGGATCAACATTAATTGTATCGTCTACGCAGAATCGTAACCTTTTATTTTGCTGTTCTACATTGACCTTTGTTGGTCGGAGGTGACATTTTGTTATTACAATAATTGACCTTTATAGGTCGGAGGTAACATTTATTATTATGACCTTACATGGTCGGTGTGATTGACTTTCAAAATTAGTGTGAATATTGACCTTTTTAAGGTCGGAGCAGTTGATAACTTCGTGTGGCATTTTATATATTGTTTTGGACGGCAAAATAAACTGTTAAGTGGAAACAACGATATTAGAGACAATTTATGTGTTTTTATATATTTTTCTACGAATATTCTCCAGTGACAATACTTAAATTCTTTTAACTACTTAAGTGAACTTTAGTATTTGATAAAATTATGTAATTTTAGTAAATGTATTGAATTTTATTGTATAAATAAATGTGTATATAAATGTAAAAGGTCTTTTTTGTAAAATAGTTATTTTGATGATAGAACTACCCACTCTGGCCATCTCTGACTTGAGACATTTGGTGTCAGAAGTGGGATAAGTAGTTCTCCATGAAAGTAACTATTAATAAAAAAAATAGTGTGTTTTATTTTAAAAATTATGGTCATTCTTTTCAGGTATTGGTTGTAATCTATGAACAAAGGAAGTGATTGAAGTTGTGTTGTTTTACAGAACAGAGATATTGAATTTTATTGTATAAATAAATGTGTATATAAACGTAAAAGGTCTTTTTTGTAAAATAGTTATTTTGATGATAGAACTACCCACTCTGGCCATCTCTGACTTGTGACATCCTGTATGTTGTGATCAAAGTGGTAATTGTTTTAGGCAATTTATTGAACAAGTGTAAAGACAGATAAACAATTCGTTATCATGTACACCATTGATAGATTGGTTTGATAAGAACAATACATATGACTCACGTATGTCGGATCGTATATGTCACGGAACATGTATTTTACACGTGTGGGACATATTCCGCCGATTTAATCACAGCTGTCTTTATATGCTATATACGTTTCTTGGTCGTATATGTAACACATTTTACACAGTAAAATAACATTATCATCTTCGTTTTAATCTACCTTTACAATGTTTATAATACATCATCATTAACACTTGTCGAAAATTTGTGCTTAATATTTTGGACACTAATACTTTTGAACTTGAAAATAGAATCTCGGCTTTTAATGCCCCCACTCTGAGGGTGGGGGTTGGGGTGAGATTTAGAAATTTTACTTGTCCATGCGCCTGTGCCTGCGGAGAACATTTATATGTAATATATATAAAAATTACATTTATTGTAACTATAAATGAAGAAATAAGTAAATGACAAAGGGTGGTAAAGGTTGAACGACTTCAAAAATGTATATACTGAAAATCAACCACCTTTAACATGAACAACTACAATCAGATGTTCTGAACAAGGAAAGTCTATATTATACCTTAGATATCGTCAGTACTTATAATGATGTGATGATTTCGCAAACGGTTAATGATGACAAGCTTAAGTTCATGGGAAATCCCATCCCAGCAGGCACTCGACGTTGTTTCAACGTTGAAACAACGTTGAAATATGGTCCTGACGTTGTTCAACCAATATTCAACTATGGACGACCATACGGATATATAGCCAATGTATATACAACGTTGATTCAACGTTGTTTATGGTCGAAGTTTTACATTTAGTTTAATCATTATATAAACTTTTATACCACTAATTTTGCGTTATTATTCCTTTATTGAATTAGTCTGTAAGTGATTTTTGTCAGGAAAATTTGCGTTACAATCTTTTTCCGTATATTCAAAATAAGCGCTGAAACAAATAAATTTGGAAATAATTTTTCACTTTCTATTAACGCTTTAAATATTAGTTAATATGTTTTGTTGTTTGTTGCTTTATTTTTTAGTTCTTTATGAATAATATTTATTAATAAATTGATATTAGTCAAAATCCCGTTTATAAAATAACGCTTGTCAGGGGAAGTAATTGTTGCAGTCTATGATTTTGGTTGTTTGTCTATGATTATCGTTCGTGCAAATGGTGGCGCTGTTTGGAAAATTTGAAAACAACACGATTGGCAATTTATTTGGATTTTGGAGGTATTACCGTAATGTTTAACTTTAGTTTACTGATTATTTTCTAAAATATTATTATTTATTCTTAAAATTCTACTTTAATTTTTTTTATGAAATAAATGTTAGATGAAAACACATGATTGAGTTGATTTGACACGTTTTCGCGACCTAATTTTAAGATTTGGGATCGGTAGGCCTTGTGAGTTGTAAGCATGAAGTTATTGATGTCCTTGGCAATTTATGATTTTACAAATCTTGTCTTTCTTTAATTTATTTTTCATATTATTAAACAATTGTCTGTAATATATCCTAATAAGAATTTAATCAATTATAAAATTGAAACCTATAAAGTAGTTTGGCCCACTTAATTTACCTCCCAAGACGATTCGTCAATATATATATCCTTGTTTATATTTAAGTGAAAGTATAATACAGTGTTAATTAGTTTGAAAAAAATACACTATTATTAAGTTAAATAACAAATTTGAGTGTTAAACTTTAAAGTTTGATAGTCGTAAATTTATGGGGAATGAGAGATCTATTTCTATTTTATTATATATTATTTTATATTCTAGATCCTGGTCCTGGTTGAAATTTAGAGTATTGGAGCTGTAGCCTGTATACCATACGTTCAACATGAAAAGGACTGTCAGGTTTGTTAAATTGAAATTTATTCTTATTAATTTATATATTTGAATTTCTTTACAATAAAAGTATAAATTTTTCAACTACTGGATATTATTTTGTCTTAAAATATATTATTTTCGATATATTCGTGTAACATTATTTATATAAAATTTACATGTTTGCTGATTACAGGATGCTGCATAAAATGGTCTTAGCTAGAGCCTAGAATGTTGATTTCTTGGGAATATGCTGCAAGGAACTGACGGGGAGCAGTTTTCTTACCAATCATAGGTGAGACTTTTAAATAGTTTCTTTTTAAAAAAGATTTTGTTGTCCTATATACAGTATTTGCTGTCAATATGAAACTTAGCTATATTTCAATTTCTATGCTGTTTTATGATGTAAATCTTAGAGAAAAGCATTTTAAGATAAAAACAAATCACTAAGTTGAGTAATTATTATGCATTAAAATTTGAGATTGAACCAAAGTCACTTTTAACTATAACTTCTTAAATTTTTATTTGCAGAAGCAGTTTAAGAGATCTAGAAGAAAAGATTGGAACAAGATTGTAGTTTTATTTGATTTAAAACTATTAAAGTGAATTTAAGCTGCACCTTGAACTGTATTTTTTGAAGGGTAAAATATCTGAAGTAATTTATATTGTCTTTGATATTGTTGTAAATTGGTTACTTTGCTTTATATCCAAAAATTAAAGTATGGAAAGGGGGGTTTCAACGTTGAAATGACAAATTGAAACACAACGTTTTGGGCCAACAAATTGAAGCTGCAACGTTGTATCAAACGTTTGAAAATTTTCAACGTTGGGTTTCAACTTTTTTTTTGTTTTTTTTTTTTTTTTTTTTTTTTTTTTTTTTTTTTTTTTTTTTTTCTCTCCAAATCGAATAAAACCAAACCTTATTTTCAAGTTGAAATCTGACCATAATTCAAACGTTGAAACAGGTCGATGTCCCTGCTGGGATCCGACTGTTTTTCAAAACAATCGCTGAAAAAAATGCCAGTGTTCAGTGGCGACGCTAACAGTTGCACAATAAAAAGTAATTCGAGTATTTCAAGTTCATAAATTGCCGGTGGTATACTTTTAACCCTTTCATTTTGGAATCAAAATGGTTTACCAAAATAAAAATTATGCCATTTTATAAACAGAACGAATAAACAAAGATTACTAACATGCCTTACTTAATATAAGTAAATTTATAGTTGGAAACGTTTTTAATTTTTAATTGGAGGGCTTGAGAAATCGGGCCGAGACAACCTTTCTGAAAAACAAATCCGGATTTACGGTAAATTCTGATGGCATGGACGACCGCTTGCACTTTTCTTTACGGTCAATGGGCATGATTCAATAAATCGAGCATGCAATACATGTACTTTAAATTTTGACATTTTACCACTTTTAGTAAGGTTTTTTTTTGCTATTTTGCAATTAATTTTACTCTCTGTTTTTTGTGTTCAATTTGAAGATTGTGGGAAATTACCTTCACCATCTAATGGTACAATCAGCTATGTCTCAAACATGACTACATTTGCATCTAAGGCAGAATATATATGTGACAATGGCTATCAATTGAATGGGTCTGACACTATAGAATGCAAGGACACTGGGGAATGGAGCGATCATACAACATATTGTCAAATAAAAGGTATGACATTTTTAGTATTATAATACTGATTTATAAATTCGATTATCAATACTTTTTTAGCAAAATACACAAGATAAGTTATTTTGAAGATACAGGAATTTACTATTTTCAGTCATCAAAATGTCATGTAGCCCGGGTCTCCACGATACCGGTGTACATATTTTATACGAGGTGTTTTTCAGATAAAACTTTACTGACTTGAAAAAAAGAAGGAATAAACAATTTCAGTAACAGTTAATCCTCTTTAAATACAATACAAAGTTCTGTTACTCTGAAATTCTCGCTCATTACGAATGTAAACAATGGTCGACTATTTTGTATGACGTAGTTAAACAGACTTCATGCTATCGGTGCACTGGTAAAAAATGTTATTTATATGGAAAGCAATTGCAGTTTTAACAGCAAATATATCATTTTAGCATTCTTGTATTCATTTCTGAACAAAACAACTTTAAAACAACATAAAAACGTGTGTTTCAATAATTTACTGTTCATATTTTATTACTCCCAAGGCATCTCTGTTTTAGAATCTTTTCATCCCAATTACAGTTGTATATAATACCATGTGGCTGGATTCAAAAATTCCCTTCACTTACTTTTAGTGTTGCTGTAATTTTGTGGTCCTTTTATATCATTGAATCTATTTGAATTCTATATGATGAACATTAGATATCAATATGGCACTTTACACAGACTTACACTTTTCAATTTTCACTAGCAGCTACTGTTTTGGTCCAAATATCCTGAAAATGTGTCAGAAAAGTCGTTACACTTATTTATATCTCAGGTTTGTATATAAGTCAGCTGGGATAAAACAAATAGGTCACACAGACAAGATATTGACCTTTTTCATGCTGTAAAGGCTACTGTTTTGGCCCGAATATTCTGGAAATTGTAAATAAAATGTCTAGATACATTCTAGCTCAATTTTCTTAAATGGGTCATTTGGAGTTGAAAATTAGGAAATACCTTGTGAATCAAATAGAAGCTACTTTTCCGGTACAAAAAACAAACAAAAAGAAACAACAACATGGAAACTGGTCAGAAAGGTTGTCAAGATGATAACTAGTGGTAGTTCGAATATCGGTCATCTTTGGTAAAAAAACTAGACACAGCCCAAACATCAAAAATCTTACACATGGGATATCATTTTCATTGTCTTGGAATTTTATCAGAAAGGTTGTTGCAATGATTTCAAGTAGAAGTTAGAAAATGGTTTACTTTTGGTCATAAACTAGTTGACAAAGCCCAATATGGAAAAAAAACTATATAAAATTCCAGAAGATGCATGTTCAGTCGAAATATCCCATAAAAACTGTAAGATAAGTTCAAAAGCAGAGAAGGGTTCCTCTTGGGTCATAAATTGGGCCACAGCCCAAATATGGATGAAATACATTGTTAATAAACTGCAAGACTACAGGTTACATTTTTGTGCAATATATCATGATATTTTGTCAGAATGGTTGATACGATAATGTCTCGCCCAAAATTGAGTATTATTCATTTGCTTTGAAAGATTTTGTCACACAACTTTGTAAAAGCCTTGTTTACTCTTTTGAGATTTTTATGGTAATATGTCAGAAACGTTGCACCTATAATTCCAATATGGGTCACCGAGGCTCAAAAACTGGGTCGCACGGCTTAAATTATTGAATTTTGTACCTGCTTTCATTCAGGGCTAACAATATTATTGTCCATGTCATTAAAAGACTTAAAGACATTTTCTACAGTTTAATGAAAAATTAATCCTTTCATAGATTTTTCTAAATTTTTTGTATGATGAGTTAAATTTAATGACGAATATAAAAAGAAAAAGAAAAATATATGTTGACGTGTTGGATTTCTTGTAAAATGGCAGTTTCCATGGTAACCCTATGTCTAAAGACTGTCAAGATAACTGTGTTATAACGAATTGAAAATGTATAAGATAGCTTAAAACACACAACGAGCATTGTTTTATGCAAAGATAATCTTATCTAATGATTCTGTATTAAACAAACGATAATCTGAACATATTTCTTTAAAAAATGAGTTATCCATGTTCCTCAACCGAACAAAAAATTAGAAAAATAAACATGAATTTTGAGAATAATTAGAGATATTGAAAAAAGTGTTTCATAGGATTTTCTCATTTTTCTATATGTTGTGAAAAATTTAATGACAAATTCAAAAAGAAATAGAAAAATATATGTTGGCGTGTTGGATTTTTTGAAAAATGGCAGTTTCCATGGTAACTGTATATCTCAAAATTGTCAAAATAGCCAAACTGTGTTATAACAATGTATAAAATAGCTTATAACGCTCACAATAAACATTATTTAATACAAAGCTTGCTTTATCTTAGGGTTCTGTATAAAACAAACGATAATTGGAACATATTTCTTTAAAAAATAAGTTTTCATTCTTTTTAACTAAACAAAAATTCAGAAAAATAAACAAGAAATCTGTAAAAAAATGAAAGCTATCAAGAAATTTCTTTCATAGAATTTTCTACATTATTGATGTATCAAGTAACATTTGATGGTGGATTCAAAAATAGAGATAAAATATATAATTATGTTGACGTGTTAGTTTTTTGTAAACGGGCAGTTTCCATGATTACCGCATTACCAATTGTCCAAATTACCACGCTTTCTTAAGAAATATCAGTGTTATACTAAATGTATTGTCAAATATACAACAAAAACATGTTGTAATATAAATTTCTTTTTCTTTTGATGTCATATTGAGTAAATGATACTGAATATCTTTTTAAAACATATCTAGGGCCATATTATTTTTTCACTCGACTAACATACCCGAACTGTAAGCAAGTATTCAGAAATTTACAAAGAAAATAATGAAATTCGGAAAATTTCTTGGTAATTTTGTTTTTTTATTCAATATTTTTAAAATATATGATTTTAAACTTCTTTGCCCAGTTGTCTGCCAGTAATCAAGACGCGACCCACTTTCGTCACTATACCACAAGTGGGTGGGGTAACGCGCGCAGAATTATCATCAATACTGTCGTACTAATGCTTGGAGAAATCCTTTATGTGATGTTGTCTAAACTACCTCTTATTCTTTTGAACCGATCTCCATTTGAACATTTAGAAATATCTATTCTGTATTATTTACTCATTATTTGCTTATAGCCGAAACTCAAACACTTATCCGAATACTATTCAACTTGACCTTCATTTGAAGAGTAATTATCCATGATTATCTTTCTTGGAAGCGCATAACGATGCGCACAGAAAACTACCGAAAATGTCTTTTAATAATCACGAAACGGTATAAGTGTCATCACGTATAGTGAGTTCCTTATGAAAAGAGATACAAGCTTATGCTGGAAACAATAATCATCATCTTAGTTTAGTCAAATATGAAAATAATAATTGGATAGATATGGCTTGATTTAATTCTTTCCAAAGTCATGTAAACTAATATTCTTTGAATTGTACAGACTGTGGACTAGTATCACCCCCAACAAATGGTGATATAGTTTTTCATCAGAACAGTACCGTTTACGGTTCAAATGCTACATACATCTGTGATGAGGGCTACAACATGATTGGTCAAGCAAACATAAAATGCGAAGCTTCAGGAGACTGGGATAACAAAACAACATATTGCAAAATAAAAGGTTTGAATTCCACTGTATTTAAAACGAATAAAACTTGTACATTTCAAATAAGGGAGTAGGATCCTTAATGTACAAGCATTAAAATGTTGAGACTTTTGAGATAAATTAGACTATGTTTTTACTTATTATAATGATACAAAAAGCAGCTTAATATTTTAGTTCACAGTTTTAAATACAGATACAGAAAACAAATTTAAACTTCGTGTTTCTTAAACTGTGTTGTTTCATTTAATGCGGCGACCGAGGCTGATGATGATGAAGAAAAAGCAACTTCATATTGATCCATGAGCATTCATCAATTAAACACATGCGATCAATGAAATCATATATGGCAAAATGGCAATAATTGAATATACATGTTGTTTGTAGGGTAGATAACCTTAAAACTACTTCCTAATTACCTCTTCAATATCATATCAAAAGAATTGATAGATAAAATCATACGGTTTTATCCCGCATATATGTTAAATGATCATGTGAAACTGTAGAATACGCCTTCAAGAGAACAATAAAAGCTATATAAGAATTGAAACATCAATACCTTAAAATTATTCTTACATTCGTCCTTGATCTCTGTCAAATCAAAACAATCCAAAAGGATTTTTTACATTCCTTTACTCATGTTCATACATGTCATTGAAAAACAGGATCAAATCGAACTGATGCATTAAAAGTGAAACTTAAAAATATTAATGAAGTCATCATTTAAACGCATATCCTTACAATGTACACGTATCCTGATTAATTGCTTACATTCGGTACGTTGTGTCAATGCTATATTTTAGATGAATTTTTCCAGAATCCTCTCTGGCGTGGGTCCGTTCCCCTGGAGATGCTTTGGTAGTTTAGCGCGTAGGAAGGGTCTGGTTCTAGTGTAACTCTCCAGGAACGATGGTTACAAACAAATTAACAAAATGATATCACATAAGTTAGATATACATGTCTACATTTAGTCAATACTGGGATAATTTACTCGAAAGCAACTGCCTTAATTGAGAATTCTATTTAAGATTTATTCAAAAAAAAAAAAAGACTTTTCCACAACAGGGGTGTGACGTATGGTAACTGTAAAACATTGCCCTGTACTTGACTTTAGTGTTGTATTTTTTTTTTGGTTATTCAGTAATAACCAGCATAATAAGCGTTGAAGATTGGATACCGGTTGTGCCGGTCCTAGGGAGCGTTCAAGTTGTTACAAGTTTACAGCATCTTTTATGAAGAGACTCAATCAAACCGTGTCTGCGAAGAAAAAATATTTTTAAGATATAAAAACTTTTTATGTTCGGTCATCAAAATGTCATGTTTATCTAGTAGTCCGTAATAAGACCTACTAAGCTGATTGACTGGCACCATGAGCATTCGCAAGGAATACAGCTCATCAATTTAACTCAAGGTTGTTCAAAGGATTTTTTTTGAATATTTACCACCATGTAGCTTGTACATGTGTGTATGAGAACACGTTTGTTTTGATGATGAATTGCAGCTCACCCAAGCTGGCTTAGTGTGAGATGTAACAAATGTTGAATGTCCGCCCTCTGTCGTCCGTCAACATTTAGTGGTCACATTTTTTACTCAGATTTAACCTAACTTGGTCAGAATTTTTGTCCCAATTATTGCTCGGACGAGTTTCAATACCGGACATAGAATTTAAACACAGGTGCAAATGAAGAAAAATCTTAATAATACTCTAGCAACTACTGTTTCGTTCCAGCCACTAGCAGGTACTGTTTTGGTGCAGATATGCTGAAATTATGCCAGAAAGGCCGTTACGCTAATTTATATCTCAGGTTTGCATATAAGTCAGCTGGGATAAAAAAAACTAGGTCACAGAGACAGGATACTGAACTTTTTTAATGCTCTTAAGGCTACGGTTTTCGTCCAAATATTCTGGAATTGTAAATAAAATGTCTAGATACTTTCTGGCTCAATCATGTAAATGGGTCGTTTGTAGTTGAAAATAAGGCCACAAAACATAAATATGGAACCATATTGTGAATCAAATAGAAGCTTCTTTTCAGATGCAAAAAAATACAACATGGAAACTGGTCAAAAAAGTTTGTCAAGATTATTACTAGTCGAAGTTTGAATATTGGTCATCTTGGGAAAAAAACAAGACACAGCCCAAACATCGAAAAATCGTATAAACAACTTGCTTGCGGAAACATTTTCAGGCCAAATGTCTTGGAATTATATCAGTTTCCTGCAATTATTTCAAGAACAAGTTAGAAAATGGATAACGTTTGGTCATAAACTATTTCACAAATTTAAGCCTAAATACGAAGACAAAATGTATAACACTCCAGAAGATATATTTCAGTCGGAATATCACATGAAATTTGTAAGCTAATTTCTATCGCTAGTTCAAAAGCAGGGGAGGGTTCCTCTTGGGTCATAAATTGAGCCATACAGCACAAATATAGTTGAAAACAATATTGCTGATAAACTGCAAGACTACAGGTTACATTTTAGTCCAGTATATCATGATATGTTGTCAGATACGATAATGTGTACCCAAAAATTGCGTATTATTTATCTGCTTTCAAAACTTTTGTCACACAACTTTGGAAAAGCCTTGTTAATTCTATTGAGATTTTTAGTTTTTATTCCAAAATCTATGGTAAAATGTCAGAAACGTTGCACCTATGATTTCTAGGTCATGATCGAATATGGGTCATCGAGGTTCAAAAACTGGGTTGCATAGCCTTAAATGTTGCAAAAGCGCATAGCCTCAATTATTGCAAAACATAGATAACACTCTGGAGGCAATATTTCCAGCACAAATATCAAGAAACCTGGTCAGAAAGATTGTTATGTTAATATTCTGCTCAACTTTGAATATGGTTCATCTTTGGTAAAAATTAGGTCACATAGCCCGTTATCGAAAAGTATTGCAAACACTGAAAGGAAATGTAATATTTTCAACCTGAATTTCTTGGAAATTTGTCAGCTAGATTCAAATGAGTTCCATGTCAAGTTCGAAAGTAGATCGTAAATACAGATACAGAAAACGAATTTAAACTTCGTATTTCTTAAACTGTGTTGTTTCGTTTTATGCGGCACGAATGATGATGATGAAGAAGCAGCTTAATATTGCAATAAATCACATATTATCCATGAGCATTCATCAATTAAACTCATGCGATCAATGAAATCATATATGACAAAATGTCAATAATTGAATATACATGTTATTTGTAGGGTAGATAACCTTTAAACTACACCCTAATTACCTCTTCAATATCATAATAAAATCATACGGTTTTATCCCGCATATAGGTTAAATAATCATGTGAAACTGTAGAATACGCCTTCAAGAGAACAATAAATGCAATATAAGAATTGAAACATCAATACCTTAAAATTATTCTTACATTCGTCCTTGATCTCTGTCAAATCAAAACAATCCAAAAGGATTTTTTATATTCCTTAACTCATGTTCATACATGTCATTGAAAGAGAGGGTCAAATCGAAACCTGATGCATTAAAGGTGAAACTTAAAAATATTAATGTAGTCATCATTTAAACGCATATCCTATCAATGTACACGTATCCTGATTAATTGCTAACATTCGGTACGTTGTGTCAATGCTATATTTAAGATGAATTTTTCCAGATACCTCTCTGGCGTGGGTCCGATAGCCGGGAGATGCTTTGGTAGTTTAGCGCAGAGGAAGGGTCTGGTTCTAGTGTAACTCTCCAGGAACGATGGTTACAAACAAATTAACAAAATGATATCACATAAGTTAGATATACATGTCTACATTTAGTCAATACTGGGATAATTTACTCGAAAGCAACTGCCTTAAATGAGAATTCTATTTAAGATTTATTCAAACAAAAAAAGGACTTTTCCACAACAGGGGTGTGACGTATGGTAACTGTAAAACATTGCCCTGTACTTGACTTTAGTGTTGTATTTTTTTTGGTTATTCAGTAATAACCAGCATAATAAACGTTGAAGATTGGATACCGGTTGTGCCGGTCCTAGGGAGCGTTCAAGTTGTTACAGGTTTACAGCATATTTTATGATGAGACTCAATCAAACCGTGTCTGCGAAGAAAAATTATTTTTAAGATATTAAAAATTTTTATGTTCGGTCATCAAAATGTCATGTATATCTAGTAGTCTGTCATAAGACCTACTAAGCTGATTGACTGGCACCATGAGCATTCGCAAGGAATACAGCTCATCAATTTAACTCAAGGTTGTTCAAAGGATTTTTTTTTAATATTTACCACCATGTATTGTGTACATGTGTGTATGAGAACACGTTTGTTTTGATGATGAATTGCAGCTCACCCAAGTTGGCTTAGTGTGAGATGTAACAAATGTTAAATGTCCGCCCTCTGTCGTCCATCAACATTTAGTGGTCACATTTTTTACTCAGATTTAACTAACTTGGTCAGAATTTTTGTCCAAATTATTTTCGGTAGAGTTTCAATACCGGACATAGAAATTAAACACAGGCGCAAATGAAGAAAAATCTTATCAATACTCTAGCAGCTACTGTTTCGTTCCAGCCACTAGCAGGTACTGTTTTGGTGCAGATATGCTGAAATTATGCCAGAAAGGTCGTTACGCTAATTTATATCTCAGGTTTGCATATAAGTCAGCTTGGATAAAAAAAACTAGGTCACACAGACAGGATACTGACCTTTTTTAATGCTCTTAAGGCTACGGTTTTGGTCCAAATATTCTGGAATTGTAAAAAAATGTCTAGATACTTTCTGGCTCAATCTTGTAAATTGGTCGTTTGTAGTTGAAAATAAGGCCACAAAACATAAATATGGAACCATATTGTGAATCAAATAAAAGCTACTTTTCAGATGCAAAAAAAAATGGAAACTGGTCAGAAAAGTTTGCCAAGATCATTACTAGTCGAAGTTGGCATATTGGTCATCTTGGGAAAAAAACTAGACACAGCCCAAACATCGAAAAATCGTATAAACAACTTGCTTGCGGAAACATTTTCAGGCCAAATGTCTTGGCATTATATCAGATTCCTGCAATTAGTTCAAGAACAAGTTAGAAAATGGATTACGTTTGGTCATAAACTATTTCACAAAGACTAAATATGAAGACAAAATGTATAACACTCCAGAATATATATTTTAGACGAAGTATCACATGAAATTTGTCAGCTAATTTCTATCGCAAGTTCAAAAGCAGGGGAGGGTTCCTCTTGGGTCATAAATTGAGCCACACAGCACAAATATAGTTGAAAACAACATTGCTGATAATCTGCAAGACTACAGGTTACATTTTTGTCCAGTATATCATGATATGTTGACAGATACGATAATGTGTACGCAAAAATTGCGTATTATTTATCTGCTTTCAAAACTTTTGTCACACAACTTTGGAAAAGCCTTGTTAAATCTATTGAGATTTTTAGTTTTTATTCCAAAATCTATGGTAAAATGTCAGAAACGTTGCACCTATGATTTCTAGGTCATGATCGAATATGGGTCATCGAGGTTCAAAAACAAAACTGGGTCGCATAGCCTTAATTTTTGCAAAACCGCATAGCCTCAATTATTGCAAAACATAGATAACACTCTGGAGGCAACATTTCCAGCACAAATGTCAAGAAACCTGGTCAGAAAGATTGTTATGTTAATATTCTGCTCAACTTTGAATATGGTTCATCTTTGGTAAAAATTAGGTCACATAACCCGTTATCGAAAAGCATTGTAAACACTGAAAGGAAATGTAATATTTTCAACCTGAATTTCTTGGAAATTTGTCAGCTAGATTCAAATGAGTTCCATGTCAAGTTCGAATGTAGGTCGTCTATGGATGCAAAATAAAAACTTAGTGACACAGCCAAAATATAATTCTGAAAAGCCTTATTTCAATGTGCACTTTTTCAGGTTCAGATGAATATTATGATATCAGTTTGAAATTTTGTCATTGTACCTGCCTTCATTCAGGGCTAACAATATTAGTTTCCTTGTCATTAAAAAAGACTTAAATAATCACGTAACGATATAAGAGCCATCATGTAAAGTAAAAATCCTCATCTTAGTTTAATCAAAAATTAAAATAATAATTGGATAGGGATGGATTGATTTATTTTTTTCCAAAGTCATGTAAATTAATGTTCTTTGAATTGTACAGACTGTGGACTAGTATCACCCCCAACAAATGGTGATATAGTTTTTCATCAGAACAGTACCGTTTACGGTTCAAATGCTACATACATCTGTGATGAGGGCTACAACATGATTGGTCAAGCAAACATAAAATGCGAAGCTTCAGGAGACTGGGATAACAAAACAACATATTGCAAAATAAAAGGTTTGAATTCCTCTGTATTTAAAACAAATAAAACTTGTTAATTACAAATTAATTTTTTTATTATTATACAAAACTTATCATATGAAAACTCAAAATCTAAGGAATTAAGATCCTTAATGTACAAGCATTAATGTTGACACTTTTGAGATAAATTAGACTATGTATTTTACTTATTATAATGAAACAAAAAAGCAGCTTAAATATTTTAGTTCACAGTTTTAAATACAGATACAGAAAACAAATTTAAACTTCGTATTTCTTAAACTGTGTTGTTTCGTTTTATGCGGTAACCGAGGCTGATGATGATGAAGAAGAAGCAGCTTCATATTGCAATAATTCACATATGATCCATGAGCATTCATCAATTAAACACATGCGATCAATGAAATCCTATATGACAAAATGGCAATAATTGAATATACATGTTGTTTGTAGGGTAGATAACCTTAAAACTACACCCTAATTACCTCTTCAATATCATATCAAAGGAATTGACAGATAAAATCATACGGTTTTATCCCGCATATAGGTTAAATGATCATGTGAAAATGTAGTATACGCCTTCAAGAGAACAATAAATGCAATATAAAAATTGAAACATCAATACCTTAAAATTATTCTTACATTCGTCCTTGATCTCTGTCAAATCAAAACAATCCAAAAGGATGTTTTATATTCCTTAACTCATGTTCATACATATCATTGAAAGAGAGGGTCAAATCGAAACCTGATGCATTAAAAGTGAAACTTAAAAATATTAATGAAGTCATCATTTGAACGCATATCCTAACAATGTACACGTATCCTGATTAATTGCTAACATTCGGTACGTTGTGTCAATGCTATATTTAAGATGAATTTTTCCAGATTCCTCTCTGGCGTGGGTCCGATAGCCGGGAGATGCTTTGGTAGTTTAGCGCGTAGGAAGGGTCTGGTTCTAGTGTAACTCTCCAGGAACGATGGTTACAAACAAACTAACAAAATGATATCACATAAGTTAGATATACATGTCTACATTTAGTCAATTCTAGCACAGCATACCCACGATAAATTTGTGATATTTTCTGACTCGCTTTCTGTTTTAATATCCATTAAAAATAAAAAAATCTGACAATATCATGGTAAAAAAACTTCTTTTACGCTTTCATGATATACTAAAAACAAAATATATTAAATTATATTGGATTCCAAGCCATGTAGGAATACGAGGAAATGAAAAAGTTGATGCTTTAGCTAAACAATCATTAAATTTTCAAAAAACTGACTTATTGTTACCTGCTTGTGATTTTAGACCGGCTATAAATAAACTCGTATCATCTGAATGGAAAGCAAATTGGGACAATGCCGTTTTTAATAAACTTCACGATATAAACCCATCTCTTGATATGTCACCATCTCTATCTCTGTCAAACCGCCGTGATCAAACAGTTCTTCTTCGATGCCGAATTGGACACACTAAAATTACCCACTCTTATCTCCTCACAAATGACAATGCCCCTTTCTGTGTAGGTTGTAATGAAAATTTTACTGTCAAGCATTTTCTTCTTGAATGTCATGATTTTTCACAGGCCCGTAATAGATTTTATTCTGTAAATTCACTCAAAGAACTTTTTAATACAATTCCATCAAAAAACATAATTGATTATTTAAAAGAGATAAATTTGTATTCTAGGATCTAATTGGCTCATTTCTATTGTCATTTACAATGTTTTACATAATATTTTAAGCCTATTATAGCATTCGGCACGATATGGCCAGTTATGTGTTGACGTGCCGTAAAAATCCAAACAAACAAAAGTCAATTCTGGGATAATTTACTCGAAAGCAACTGCCTTAAATGAGAATTCTATTTAAGATTTATTCAAACAAAAAATACTTTTCCACTTTTCCACAACAAGGGTGTGACGTATGGTAACTGTAAAACATTGCCCTGTACTTGACTTTAGTGTTGTATTTTTAGCTCGACTATTCGATAAGAATAAGTAGAGCTATTGCAGTCACCCGAGCCTCGGCGTCGGCGTCGGCGTAACCACTTATGTTAAAGTTTTTGTAATAGTTCAAATATTTTCAAAGTCCATTGACATATGGCTTTGAAACTTTGCACACTTGTTTACCATCATGACCCCAACCTGTAGACAGGAGGAGGTAACTCTATCAAGCATTTTGACAGAATTATGCCCCTTTTTCGACTTAGAATTTACGTTAAACTTTTTGTAATAGTTCAAATATTTTCAAAGTCCATTGACATATGGCTTTGAAACTTTGCACACTTGTTCACCATCATGACCCCAACCTGTAGACAGGGGGAGGTAACTCTATCAAGCATTTTGACAGAATTATGCCCCTTTTTCGACTTAGAATTTACGTTAAAGTTTTTGTAATAGTTCAAATATTTTCAAAGTCCATTGACATATGGCTTTGAAACTTTGCACACTTGTTCACCATCATGACCCCAACCTGTAAACAGGAGGAGGTAACTGTATCAAGCATTTTTTTTACTATCAAGCACTAAGAATAGTCGAGCGTTGCTGTCCTACCGACAGCTCTTGTTTTGGTTATTCAGTAATTACCAGCATAATAAGCGTTGAAGATTGGATACCGGTTGTGCCGGTCCTAGGGAGCGTTCACGTTGTTACAAGTTTACAGATCTTTTATGAAGAGACTCAATCAAACCGTGTCTGCGAAGAAAAATTATTTTTAAGATATAAAAATTTACTATGTTCGGTCATCAAAATGTCATGTATATCTAGTAGTCTGTAATAGGACCTACTAAGCTGATTGACTGGCACCATGAGCATTCACAAGGAATACAGCTCATCAATTTAACTCAAGGTTGTTCAAAGGAAAATTTTGTTTGAATATTTACCACCATGTAGCTTGTACATGTGTGTATGAGAACACACGTTTGTTTTAATGATGAATTGCAGCTCACCCAAGCTGGCTTAGTGTGAGATGTAACAAATGTTGAATGTTCGCCCTCTGTCGTCCGTCAACATTTAGTGGTCATATTTTTTACTCTGATTTAACCTAACTGGGTCAGAATTTTTCTCCAAATTATTGCTCGGACGAGTTTCAATACCGGACATAGAAATTAAACACAGGCGCAAATGAAGAAAAGTCTTATTAATACTCTAGCAGCTACTGTTTCGTTCCAGCCACTAGCAGGTACTGTTTTGGTTCAGATATGCTGAAATTATGCCAGAAAGGTCGTTACGCTAATTTATATCTCAGGTTTGCATATAAGTCAGCTGGGATAAAAAACTAGGTCACACAGACAGGATACTGACCTTTTTTAATGCTCTAAAGGCTACTGTTTTGGTCCAAATATTCTGGAATTGTAAATAAAATGTCTAGATACTTTCCGGCTCAATCTTGTAAATTGGTCGTTTGTAGTTGAAAATAAGGCCACAAAACATAAATATGGAACCACATTGTGAATCAAATAGAAGCTACTTTTCAGATGCAAAAAAAATGGAAACTGGTCAGAAAAGTTTGTCAAGATCATTACTAGTCGAAGTTGGAATATTGGTCATCTTGGGAAAAAAACTAGACACAGCCCAAACATCGAAAAATCGTATAAACAACTTGCTTGCGGAAACATTTTCAGGCCAAATGTATTGGAATTATATCAGATTCCTGCAGTTATTTCAAGAACAAGTTAGAAAATGGATTACTTTTGGTCATAAACTATTTCACAAAGCCTAAATATGAAGACAAAATGTATAACACTCCAGAAGATATATTTTAGTCGAAATATCACATGAAATTTGTAAGCTAATTTCTATCGCAAGTTCAAAAGCAGGGGAGGGTTCCTCTTGGGTCATAAATTGAGCCACACAGCACAAATATACTTGTAGTTGAAAACAACATTGCTGATAAACTGCAAGACTACAGGTTACATTTTTGTCCATTATATCATGATATGTTGTCAGATACGATAATGTGTACCAAAAAATTGCGTATTATTTATCTACTTTCAAAACTTTTGTCACACAACTTTGGAAAAGCCTTGTTAAATCTATTGAGATTTTTAGTTTTTATTTCAAAATATATGGTAAAATGTCAGAAACGTTGCACCTATGATTTCTAGGTCATGATCGAATATGGGTCATCGAGGTTCAAAAACTGGGTCGCATAGCCTTATTTTTTGCAAAACCGCATAGCCTCAATTATTGCAAAACCTAGATAACACTCTGGAGGCAATATTTCCAGCACAAATATCAAGAAACCTGGTCAGAAAGATTGTTATGTTAATATTCTGCTCAACTTTGAATATGGTTCATCTTTGGTAAAAATTAGGTCACATAACCCGTTGTCGAAAAGCATTGTAAACACTGAAAGGAAATGTAATATTTTCAACCTGAATTTCTTGGAAATTTGTCAGCTAGATTCAAATGAGTTCCATGTCAAGTTCGAATGTAGGTCGTCTATGCAAAATAAAAACTTAGTGACACAGCGAAAATATAATTCTGAAAAGCCTTATTTCAATGTGCACTTTTTCAGGTTCAGATGAATATTATGATATCAGTTTGAAATTTTGTCATTGTACCTGCCTTCATTCAGGGCTAACAATATTAGTTTCCTTGTAATTAAAAAAGACTTAAATAATCACGTAACGATATAACAGTCATCATGTAAAGTAAAAATCCTCATCTTAGTTTGATCAAAATTTAAAATAATGATTGGATACAGATTGATTGATTTAATTTTTTCCAAAGTCATGTAAATTAATATTCTTTGAATTGTACAGACTGTGGACTAGTATCACCCCCAACAAATGGTGATATAGTTTTTCATCAGAACAGTACCGTTTACGGTTCAAATGCTACATACATCTGTGATGAGGGCTACAACATGATTGGTCAAGCAAACATAAAATGCGAAGCTTCAGGAGACTGGGATAACAAAACAACATATTGCAAAATAAAAGGTTTGAATTCCGCTGTATTTAAAACGAATAAAACTTGTTAATTTCAAATTAATTTTTTTTCATTATTATACAATACTTATCATATGAAAACTCAAAATCTATGGAAGGAAGATCCTTAATGTAAAAGCATTGATGTTGAGACTTTTGAGATAAATTAGACTATGTATTTTACTTATTATAATGAAACAAAAAAGCAGACTAAACATTTTAGTTCACAGTTTTAAATACAGATACAGAAAACAAATTTAAACTTCGTATTTCTTAAACTGTGTTGTTTCATTTTATGCGGCACCCGAGGCTGATGATGATGAAGAAGAAGCAGCTTCATATTGCAATAATTCACATATGATCCATGAGCATTCATCAATTAAACACATGCGATCAATGAAATCACATATGGCAAAATGGCAATAATTGAATATACATGTTGTTTGTAGGGTAGATAACCTTAAAACTACACCCTAATTACCTCTTCAATACCATATCAAAGGAATTGACAGATAAAATTATACGGTTTTATCCCGCATATAGGTTAAATGATCATGTGAAACTGTAGAGTACGCCTTCAAGAGAACAATAAATGCAATATAAGAATTGAAACATCAATACCTTAAAATTATTCTTACATTCGTCCTTGATCTCTGTCAAATCAAAACAATCCAAAAGGATTTTTTATATTCCTTTATTCATGTTCATACATGTCATTGAAAGCATACATGCCAATGAAAGAGAGGGTCAAATCGAAACCTAATGCATTAAAGGTGAAACTTAAAGATATTAATGTAGTCATCATTTAAACGCATATCCTATCAATGTACAAGTATCCTGATTAATTGCTAACATTCGGTACGTTGTGTCAATGCTGTATTTTAGATGAATTTTTCCAGATTCCTCTCTGGCGTGGGTCCGATCCCCGGGAGATGCTTTGGTAGTTTAGCGCGGAGGAAGGGTCTGGTTCTAGTGTAACTCTCCAGGAACGATGGTTACAAACAAACTAACAAAATGATATCACAGAAGTTAGATATACATGTCTACATTTAGTCAATACTGGGATAATTTACTCGAAAGCAACTGCCTTAAATGAAAATTCTATTTAAGATTAATTCACACAAAATAAGACTTTTCCACAACAGGGGTGTGACGTGTGGTAACTTTAAAACATTTCCATGTACTTTACTTTAGTGTTGTATTTTTTTGGTTATTCAGTAATAACCAGCATAATTAGCGTTGAAGATTGGATACCGGTTGTGCCGGTCCTAGGGAGCGTTAAAGTTGTTACAAGTTTACAGCATCTTTTATGAAGAGACTCAATCAAACCGTGTCTGCGAAGAAAAATTATTTTTAAGATATAAAAACTTTTTATGTTCGGTCATCAAAATGTCATGTATATCTAGTCTGTAATAAGACCTACTAAACTGATTGACTGGCACCATGAGCATTCGCAAGGAATACAGCTCATCAATTAAACTCAAGGTTGTTCAAAGGAAATATGTTTTTGAATATTTACCACCATGTAGCTTGTACATGTATGTATGAGAACACACGTTTGTTTTGATGATGAATTGCAGCTCACCCAAGCTGGCTTAGTGTGAGCTGTTACAAATGTTGAATGTCCGTCCTCTGTCGACCGTCAACATTTAGTGGTCACATTGTTTACTCAGCTTTAACCTAACTTGGTCAGAATTTTTGTCCCAATTATTGCTCGGACGAGTTTCAATACCGGACATAGAAATTAAACACAGGCGCAAATGAAGAAAAATCTTATTATCACTCTGTCAGCTACTGTTTCGTTCCAGCCACTAGCAGGTACTGTTTTGGTTCAGATATGCTGAAATTATGTCAGAATGGTCGTTACGCTAATTTATATCTCAGGTTTGCATATAAGTCAGCTGGGATAAAAAAACTAGGTCACACAGACAGGATACTAACATTTTCTAATGCTCTAAAGGCTACTGTTTTGGTCCAAATATTCTGGAATTGTAAATAAAATGTCTAGATACTTTCCGGCTCAATCTTGTAAATGGATCGTTTGGAGTTGAAAATAAGGCCACAAAACATAAATTTGGAACCATATTGTGAATCAAATAGAAGCTACACTCTAATTACCTCTTCGATATCATATCAAAAGAATTGATAGAAAAAATCATACGGTTTTATCCCGCATATAGTTTTAATAATCATGTGAAACTGTAGAATAAAAGCATTCAAGAGAACAATAAATGCAATATAAGTATTGAAACATCAATACCTTAAAATTCAAATCAAAACTATCAAATAATTATTTGTATATATTCTTTTACTCATGTTTATGCATGCCATTAAAAGAGAAGGTCAAATCGAAATCTGTTGATTAAAAAATGAAAATTGAAAATATTGATGTAGTTATCATTTGAACGCATATACTAACTATGTACACGTATCCTGATTAATTGCTAACATTTGGTTCGTTGTTTGTGTCAATGCTGTATTTTAAATTAATTTATTTAATGATAAACAACAAGTCAGATATACATGTATACATTTAGTCAATATTGAGATTATTTACTCGAAAACACCTGCCTTAAATGTGAAATCTATTTAAGATTACTTCACAAAAATAGACTTTTTTGTTGGTTGCATTGCTTCCGGGACATTTCCACTTTTCCACAACAGAGATGTGACGTGTGGTAGTTGTAAAACGTTGCCCTGTACTTGGCTTAAGTGTTGTGTTTTTTGGTTTTTATTGGCTCTTCAGTATTATTGATTCCAACATAATTAGCGTTGAAGATTGAATACCGGTTGAGCCGGTGCTAGGGAGCGTTAAAGATGTTACAAGTTTACAGCATCTTTCATGATTTTGCACTTCCAATATAATATTATCGGATAATTCTTCTTTAACAAATTTGTCTCTACAATGTCATTATCGTGATTAAAGAAACAACCTTGAATCAAATATAATCATGATTTGTCTTTTCTTGGATAAATGCGATTACACGCAAATATACATTTAGATAAATAATATACAAATGTAGATTAAGCGTATGTTTTTAAGACATGTTAATTGATTTTAGAGCAATGTTGTAGGATATGTTTGGGTTTATAAGCACAGAAATAAATTCGCTTAAATTACGGTGATTGAATAGAGCAACTATATGTTACGATGCTGAAAGAAATTCAATGAGATTTGTTCATTGCATTTTTTTTTGTTTCACAATAACCATGTTTTCCGTTTCCAAAATTGCTTCTTTTAGATTGCCTTTTTAAACCATATAGTTATGATAAAAATATTGATATATAAGTTACTTCAATACCTTTAGATTGTGGACCTCGAACGCCAAGGAATGGCTCTGTTGAATTATCAAATGGAACCTCATATCAGTCATTGATGACCTTCAAATGCGACGAAGGTTTCGACATGAATGGAACGAAAACATCTGTATGCCAAGCTAACAGTAAATGGAGTCATGAAGTCCCACAATGTATCATAAAAGGTAAATGTAAATAAATAATTGTATAACGTCGGCATTCATCGGAAAATTATTACACTAGACTAAGATATATATTTTTCAATGTCAAATTAATGAAAGCAAGATTATGATTACTTGACCTTCGTCATGTAAAATTAGGGACGAGTCGTCTGATCTTACAAAATTCAGAATGAATAAGAGCAATATGAACAATATGTATTAAGATCACGTAATTATTGTGCGGGTACATAGTGTCATAGAAAAGGAAACTTTAAATAAACTTTTACTGACTGTTCTGTTAAATATGAATCTACCAAATTAGATGTATCGTTCGGAAGCAGTTGCTTACGGAATGACAAATAGACTGGCAGTATACCAGAAAGGTAAAAAACGTTTTTTTCCTAATTTGATAAAATTTTTATCAATATTTTGTGTTAATGGGGAACGGAGAGTCTCGGTTCGATATCGCAAGAACGTTTGTGTAACTACAACAAAACAAATGAAAATAAAAGCAAATGTTAATTTTATGAATTATATACATCACAATTTCATTTTTAATGTACATATAGAATGAATGAGGTGGGAAAATAAAAAGAAAATTGGAAAAACTTCCAAGAAAAGAAAACAACGGGTTACCGCAATGGTGGTCAGAGCGCTTCTCATCCCATATGACGTCAAATTTCACGTTGAAGTTTGACGTCATTATGTGACGTCATAAACGTGTCCATTGACAAGACACTTGCTAATAGCAATTAATACACAAATTGAGATAAATTTAAGTTGGCAAAAGTGCCAAATAAATCCGAATACTTTAAGTAAAATAATTTTACTTAAACAGGAAAATTGACCGTATTGTGTTTCAAAAGTACTAGTGATTGTATAGTATTTGTATTACCACAATAGAGTAAGACGTCAGATATAAATAGAACTGTAGTAGATAAAATTTGCAATCGAATCAAGGAAGTAAACTCGAAGTCTTAAAGTTGAGATGACGCTGTATGATATCATTTAGTTACTTGGTTATATCACGGAAGCCTGATTTGGTTTTGATTAATTTGATACTATTTCGTCATAAACAGCGGCAGCGATTACTTAATTGAACGTTAAAGATCTTCCCTAAATATGTCCATCTATAACTTACTTTCTTTGTATATTGTCTCAGACTGTGGTGAACCGAAATGGCCAAACCAAGGAAAGATTTTATCCAAAACAGGCAATAAATATAACGATTACGTTACATACAGCTGTAACCAAGGATACGAAACATCTGACCCCGTTTTGGTCACATGTAACTCAAGTGGTAACTGGAGCAGACCTGCCCCTGTTTGCAAAGGTACATATACCATCTGAGATATAAAAAATTATCTGTTAAAGAAATTTTGACAAAGTTGACATAGGTTTAAATAGTAACAGAATTAAGGACGTTGTTTCTTCTAAATGTATTCCAAAAACTAATACAAGAACTGATTGGGACAGTTTCTAAAATTTTCGTTCGTTTTATAAGTTATTACTTTTTATTAGAATTAGTTCATGTTAAATGTTTTTCTTTGAAATGTTTGCATTATTATAAAATGAGAATAAAGAAGAAAAGAATTGCACATGCCTCGAGTAACAACACTATTTTCATCGGAATGATATTGTACTGTTAATCAGAACCTAATTGTTACTTATATACTATTTATAAACAACTTATATCCGATTAATAATACACATAATTGTTCACTTAAAATTTAAGACATTAATGAATGTACTCGTTACACAAACGACTGTCACTTACAAGCTATCTGTAACAACACTGATGGAACTTTCACATGCCAGTGTCGTGAAGGGTTCACCGATAATTCCACGAATGGGCAACAAGGCCGGGATTGTCAAGGTATTGCGTTTATCCGATAACTTAAAATTGAGCCATGTCACGACAAAACCAACATAATGGGTTTGCGACCAGCATGGATCCACACCAGCCTGCGCATCCGCGCAGTCTGATCAGGATCCATGCTGTTCGCTTACAAAGTCTATAACAAGTAGTGAAAATGATAGCGAACAGCATGGATCCTGATCAGACTGCGCGTATTTCATTTTAAGATGAATATTAATAAGAATGTAAGATATTGAAAATAGTGACTCGGGATCGACCAGAACGTTTGAGCAAAAACATCTTTTATGTAAACACATTTTCAAAATTTGTTTATGTCCAAGAGGCAACTAATATTACCTAGTTTTTTTGTAATTTTTGAAAAAGAAAAACTAGCGATAGTTCTATCAATTTTTTATCAGATAATTATTGGAGGGTTTCATTTTCTTTTCAGATATATGTGTAAATATTCCGTTCTTTTTGTTTGATTTCAGTAGTCCTATAATAAAATTGTATTGTGTTCCATTTGTGGGTTTCACTGATGACTTTCACGTTATATACTTATATTATCAGTAATTGAAGATCACCCATTGTATATCTTTCATTTTATTTCACTCACCGATGCCCAGTTACTGTAAATCACTAACTGCAGATCATTCACTGTATACTAGTCAATGATTATATGTATATGACTCACAGTATATCACTCATTATAGATCAGTCACACTCATTATATATCAGTTACTGTATACCACTCACAATATATATTACTCATTATATATAAATTATTATATATCATTTAAAATATATCACTCATTATATCAATCACTCATAATATATCATTTATTATAGATCATCACTCACTGTATATCACTCACTTTTTATACTCACTGCATACCATACACTGCATATAACTCATTGTTTATCACTGGTTTTATATTATTCGATGTATGTCACTCTCTTATTATCACTCAATGAATATCACTTTCTTTATATCATTCATATATGAATATCTGAAGATAATGACAATAATTATTTAAGTAATCCACAGGCACTCCATAGATTGCTCCATATATGTATGTAATTATATAATTATAGTATTACGTGATATAATTAAATTTTTCAAAAACATAAACAAAGTTTTCAGAACACTGTATTTCTTTTTCCGATGCAATTTTAGTTTTAATTATTGAAATGAATACTGCGATTAGCTGGAACGTATGTCAAAATTGGGACAGCTATGAATGTGTGATTATTTATAACGCTTGATTTGGTAATACCATATAATGTTTGTTTATATCAATATACAGACATAAATGAGTGTGCGGATTTGAAGAAAATTCAATGTTACAAGGATCGTTCACGGTGTGTTAATTACCTCGGAGGGTACGTTTGTTTTTGTCATGAGCAATTTCCCAAAAGGTAAACGATAAAAGGCGAAAACTAGTTCCAAAACTTAAGGAGGCCAAACAAGCAGGAAAGAGGGCGTGGCTAGCTTACGACACTCTGTACGTAGATGGAAAGCCAGTGAAAGTGGATGAGGCCAGATAGGGATTCAATGAGGATGAACTGAATATTCTATCATGGAATGTAAATGGATTAACTTGTGATAAGAAAAATGACAGTGAGTTTGTAAATTTGATTTCTAAAAATGACATTGTGTTTTTATATGAATCTTGGACCAGTAAAGATAGTGATATTGAACTTTCAAATTATGTTTCTCATAACTTTTACAGAAAGTTTCCAAAATAGAAGTGCGAAAAGATGTAGTGGAGGTACTGTTTTGTATTTTAAAGAAAGTCTAAAGCCAGGTATAGAAGTGGTTCGCACACATCATGACACTATTATTTGGTTGAAGTTAAACCGTTTGTTTTTTCATTTTGAATCTGATGTTTATATATGTGGTTTATATATTTGGTGCCAAGATTCACCAGCATATAGTGTTGTCCCTGTTGACTTGTTTGATATTTTACAAAATGATATATATGACTTTGAAAATTTAGGTTCAGTATATTTAGTTGGAGATTGGAATAGTCGCGTTGGCAATAAACATGATTTTATAACATGTGATATTTTTGATAGAAATATGGATGATATTGATTATGTTCCCGATATACCATTAAGACGGGCCTCAATGGATAAATCCTGTAACAGTTTTGGGGTCAAGGTTCTTGATCTTTGTAAAGCAAACAATTTGCGCATTGTTAACGGTCGTCTATTTAATGATATGTCTGGTATGTACACTTTCGCAAATACAAACGGGGCGTCCGTTATCGATTATTTATTAACAAAAGAATGTTATTTTAATATATTATGTAACTTTACTATTGATTCATTCAATGAATTTAGTGACCATGCGGGGGTGTTGTTTACATTGAGGTGCAAGAAACGCATGGATGAGATTAAGGTAAAAAATGAGGTCAGGTATAAATGGGATGATAAATATAAGAGTATATTTAGGTCACATCTTATTTCAAGATTACCATATTTGAATCGTTTAACAAATAATATCGATAAGAATAGCAGAGAATCTGTAAATAACGTTATGAATAATTTTTCTGAGGTATTACGTGAGGTCGCAGATCCATTGTTTTCTAAATCATATGTGTTTAAGAATGAGCCTTATTTTAGTGAACAGTCTGTTTTAAAACAGGCTGACTGGTTTGATATTGAATGTTCAAGGGCAAGAATTCAGTATCTACATGCTTTACACGATTTTAACAGGTTTAAGTCGGATCAGAATAGGGAAATGTTTTGTAATTTAAAAAAGCAGTATAAAGATTTATGTAGAAAAAAGAAGGGTATTTTTAAACAAAAGAAAATGAATGATATTGGAAATTTAATTCATGCAAAACCTAAAGTATTTTGGAGCTATTTTAAAAAGAAAAGTAAATCTTCAAACGACTTATCTGTTGAAGAATTTTGTTCCTATTTCTCATCCCTAGGAAGTGATGTGTTACAGGAAAGGAATCTTGACGCAGAAAGTTTTTGTAGTAGCCATGATTTTAATAATTTAGATTGTTGTTTTGAAGAATTAGACAAAACTATAACTGTACAAGAAATTTATAATGCTGCCAAAGAACTAAAAAAGGGTAAGGCTTTTGGTAGTGATTTTATCTTGAATGAATATTTGATTGAAAGTATTGATATTTTAGGGTCGCATATTTGTGATATTTTTAATGCTATTTTAGATTCTGGGTATTTTCCAGATAAATGGATGGAAGGTGTAATTATACCTTTACATAAAAAGGGTGATAAGAATGACGTTAACAATTATAGGGGTATTACATTAGTTAGTTGTTTTTCTAAGTTATTTACAATAGTTTTAAATAAGCGTGTCACGTCTTTTTGTGAAAATAACAATGTTATATCTGACGCGCAGTTTGGTTTTAGAAAAGGTAAATCAACTGTAGATGCATTATTTATACTGTTGAATGTTGTGCAACACTATTTAAATGAAAATAAAAGATTATATTGTGTATTTGTTGATTTAAAAAAATGTTTTGATACTATATATAGAAATGCACTATGGTTAAAATTGTATAGGTTAGGAATACAAGGTAAATTATTGAGAATTATTAGGGACATGTATACAAAAGTTAAATCCTGTGTTAGATCATGTAACGATTATTCCTCTTATTTTGAGTATGCTGTAGGTTTAAGACAAGGGGAGATAATGTCGCCACTACTTTTTTCTCTGTTCGTAGAAGACCTAGAATTATTTTTACAAGATAACATTAGTTCTGGACTTGATATAGAAGAAATTATCTTACTTTTACTATTATTTGCTGATGATATGGTTGTATTAGGAAAATCGCCTCAAGAATTACAAATGCATTTAGATAAATTATATGAATATTGTAAAAGTTGGGGATTAGAAGTAAATATAGATAAAACTAAAATTGTTGTATTTAGGAAAAGAGGCGGTTTACTAGGAAATGAGTTTTGGACATATGATGGTAATGATATTGAAGTAGTAAATGATTTTAATTATCTAGGAACAGTTTTCAATTACACCGGAAATTTTACTTTAAATCAGGAATACATTGTAGGTAAAGCTTTAAAGGCGCTTAATGTTTTGCTTTTAAATTGTAAAAAGTATAGTTTTAAACCAAAGTTATTATGTCAGCTATTTGATTCTTTTGTTGGCTCAATTTTGAGTTATTCGTCAGAAATATGGGGATTTACAAAATCAAAACAAATTGAAAGAATACATTTAAAATTTTGTAAAAATGTATTGTCAGTAAGAAATACTACCTGTACTGTTAGTGTATAAGGAGAGTTAGGAAGGTATCCCGTTATTTACGTATTTAAGATGCTGCACACAGAAAATATTATTTTACGTTCAGTTTACCAGCTATCATTAAATGATTGTAATAAAGGATTATGTAACTGGGTAGCATATGTTAAAAGCTTTTGTGTGAACCCACATGATATTGTATTTAAAAACTTTATCCCGATATTGAGACAACGAATAAGTGATTGTTTTATACAGGTGTGGTATGTATCTAAAGAGACAAGTTCTGTATTGGAATTATATAATGTGTGTAAAATTAGTTTTTGTTACGAAAATTATTTAGATATATTGCCTGATCATTTGAGACGACTTATCACTAGATTAAGAACTTCTGCACACAGCTTAAGAATACAAACTGGTAGATATGCCAGAAATAGAATACAAAGAAATGAACGCTATTGTCAATGTTGTTCTTTAAGAGACTAAGAAGATGAATTTCATTTCGTTCTTATATGCCCATGATATACAAATATTCGTACCCGTTATATTAAAAGATAGTATTTTGTTAACCCAAGTAAGTACAAATTTATTGCATTGCTGCATAGTAATAATAGAAATGAGCTATGTAAACTAGCATTATATTACAGTCAATTAAAGTTTAAAATTTAGTTTATTAAAAATAAAGTTTAATGATAGATTAATTAAAATTTAGTTTTCACATTGATTTTTCTTCTTAAATATGTTCATTGTCACTTAACTGAGGCTTAATAACAAATATCTGAAATTTCATTTGAATTATTAATCTCTTTATTTTATTTATATTATTGATTTATTTATATTGATTGCACTGAAAAGTACATATTACTCAAATATTATTATGTTATGTATATGATGATGTACTATGTACAAATCAGAAATAAAAGATCTGTTCTGTTCTGTTCTGTTCTGTTTTTGTCATCAAGGATGGACTGGCAAACACTGTGAAAATGGTAACTACAACTAAAAATGCATGACATTAAAGTAACATTATGCCCATCCAAGAGTAAATCGCGAGTGGCAAGTCAAATTTAAATGACTTTATATTTTGCCATATTTTTTTCAGTTTAATAATAAACGTCACGTGAGTAATCAAAAATGCCCTTGGCCCAAATGAATATCTATAACTATCGTTAATGTTCAATTTATAAACAGAGTTAGGCAGTGCTTATATATTTTAGGCAGTTTTTATATAATTTATCATAGACTTTGTGATATCAGTTAATATTCAATCACCATTATAGATATATCAATATCAGTGAAAAAATGGGCATTATGTCACTTTGAAAAAAAAAAATCTCCATACATGGAAATATTTGAACATTTAAAAAAACATTAGCCGCAACAAAATTTTTATGTTCATAGCTATCAAAATCAGATTAAGACTCTACGTTAATATTAAATTGTCACAAAATCAAAGAAGTTCAAAGAATTTAAGCGGTAATTTTTTATCAAAACTATCTATTGATATTTCATTTCGCATATGAGTACATTTCGCTTATTATTTCTTAATTGTTGCAATGATAAGGTACGTGAATTCAGTTAGCATATTTTCATGCATACTTATTTTCAATTTACATGTTTTCAAATTGTTTGGGCATTTGTGGTTGAGTGGTATGCTTCAAAAAAGTTGCCATTATCCGCTATGAGTTATTCTGTTATTCTGTCTGCTGTAAGATATTTGAGGTCGATAATTGAAATGATATATTTTACAGATATTGATGAGTGTAACGATACATCTAGCTGCGGGGTAGAAGCGTATTGTACTAATTTTTACGGAGGTTATAATTGCACGTGCAAGAAAGACTTTCCGAAAGGAGATCCGACATTTCATTGCTATGGTATTATAAGATTTACCTATATTTTCCTTGACACTTTGCCACCGTCTTTAATTACATACATTGCTTATAAGTCAATATTTTTCGTACTTAACTTTAAGTGAAAATATTTTGTGTTTCATATCTAATTGTAGATGAATACGCCTCCATCTTCAAATCGTATCACATAATATCAAGTGTACTTCTTAGATATATTTTTGTCTATTTCTTTTCAAAGTCCCCTGATGTGATATTTTCAAAAAATCTATCGTTATATCAGCCTGTGTTCATTAAAGATGTTTCACATTTGCATGAGAAAGGCATCAACTGTTGATCAACATTAATTGCAAAGTTTGAACTTCTAGTACATTCGAGCCGCGAACATAGTGCGTTTGCGACCAGCATGGATCCAGACCAGCCTGCGCATCCGCGCAGTCTGATCAGGATCCATGCTGTTCGCTATCAGTTTCTCTACTTGTTATAGGGTTTTTTAGCGAACCGCATGGATCCTGATCAGACTGCGAGGATGCGCAGGCTGGTCTGGATCCATGCTGGTCGCAAACCCATTATGTTGGTTTCGTCGTGACGCGGCTCATTTATTTTATGTTCATAGAAAACGTTATCATTGAATTGGTGACACCTGTAGCACCGTTCAGGGGAGATAATGAGCTGATCACCTCTTTTCCGATACACAACAGGTTTCCGTATTTTGGAACGGAGTATAAATCTTTTAGAGTAAGTCATAACTATCGGACAATATATAACAGTTTTGACAATTTGTTTGTTCTCTAAAGTTGATGTTTGCAAATATTTACACAGCTTTTCAAACGTTTAAAGAATATATGTTAATGTAAAAATATAGTTTTTAATGTTGACATCTTTCATTATACCAGTATGAAAAATATTTGTAAGAATATATTCATGAGAGCGAATGGCGCATGCTCGAAATCACTGCTTAACGTTTAAAACCCTACTAACACTTTGTTAGTGTGCATCTATTTGTATTCTATCTGTAAATTAATAATAAAGATATTTCATTGGATAAAGCTGCCTTAATAGCCTTCCAGATATACATGTAAATATTGAAAGCAATGATTAGAAAGATAAAACATTGCTATATAGGTGTGTTCAAGTGCGATTAAAACGTTAACATGGGGGGCGGGGGAACATATCCATAAAATTATGTAGCATAATATGTAGATTTGTTATGTTTCTTATTTACAGCCGAATATGAATGGTTTTATAACACTTGGCTTTCAACCCTTGTATCAGAACTATGGACCAGAAACACCTACTGACTGGAAGACATTTAGCGAAGGTCGGACAGTGATAGCTCCATTCTGGACAAATCTAGACTCTACTAATCTAACTGGAGGTGTTTTTGTCCATCTTATGGAATACTACAGCGGTGATATGAACGATAGTCGACACAAAGACCTGGCAATGCTAGGAAGAAAATTTTCAAATTACTTGAACCTCACAGATTTTCATCCGCGTGTTGCTATTGAAGCAACGTGGATGAACGTTACAAAATCATCCTATATTATACCAACAAGACTCATAAAATCTCAAGTAAGTTGAACAAATTTATCATTGAAATGCATAGACAATATAAGGATAACGCATCCTTTCCTTTGAATTATCAGCTGCATGGCAATGTGCATTAGTGCTTGTTTTGCACACACAAAATAATATTTGTTAATGTTAATAACGCGTTTCAAAATTTGTTTTTTCGTTTTAAAGAATCGGTGGTGTCATTTGACACTAAGTTTTGAAGATGAAACTGCCAGAAAGTGAAGTATACATGACGCACTCAGTCAATATGCAGCATGACTCAGTAAAAACATTCTTCTTGGAAAAATAACCCCAAATCTGGTAGAAGTCAATACTTGAAAAATAAATAACAAATCGGGAGAAATATTGACCAGTCAGACAAATCTTACAGAACTTTTGGTTGTTGCCTTTCCTGCTTTGTTTCGAGTAAACATTATAAAACCTATTTTACGGAATGATACGTGAAACAAAATTGAGTTCGTGACCTTCCTGACGACATGCATACAAATCATATACGTTTAGTTATCTCTTTAACTCTCTAAAATAATACATAATTGCCAATACGTTATAATCATCGAAAACAGACAAAATATTTGAAACTGTGCTCTGTGTAAAGATTGATTTAAAAATCTGAATTAATTGATATGAAATGGTAGATGTTTTACTACAACAACAATGTGCTATTTAACCTGTACAAACAGTTAAACCTAATAAACGTCGAATTCGTTCTTGCAGAATGTGACAATGCAATTGATTCTAATTTCGGATGGTATATATTCATACCTTATGTTTAACTACGATCATGAGCAGTGGTCACTTAAACTTGACAAGAATATACCAAGTTCTGCCGGCTTTAGTTGTAAAGACAACAATGTTCACATCTTGCAACAAGCAAAAATGCGAGTTCGCTGAACAACGATACCAACGTTCAATCGGGTAAAGTTAACAGATTGTGTTCCTTTTAAAATGTGTCCTAAGTTAATCTTATATCAATTATTTCAGATAATATCACTTAGTTTAAATGTTTATTTTTCAAATGGTAAGAATGATCACTTATAAAGCATCTTCATCGATTTATAAAACGTTCATGGTTTCTTTCCAAAAAATGATGTTCGCTACTACCAAATAAATATGTTCATTACCATGCTCACTATAATTTTTAATAGCTCAAAAAGTGACGTACATTTACTATAATGGTATGCTCTGAATGTATGAAGGAACAGTTTTGCCGTTTTGGGCGTTCTTAAGGCCTTCTGTTCTTTTTTTCTATTTTGGTATAACCTGAAGCTCCGTTAACACTGAATAAAAGTAAAAATAATTTACAGTCAAATATTGGCCAGATACCGATCAAACATTTAGATACAATTTCATATAGTGTTGTAATAAATATAGGACTGGTGCCGATTCAACTATTAAATGCTTTGTGCCGATCCAATTTTAAAAATGTTTTGTTCTTAAATTCCGTTGCTGGCATGTCAGTTATTTATTAGATGCTGACCAAACCTCTCAATGTTGTATTTTTCCTCAAATGGTGTCGGGTACTTACATATTAAACATAATTAAGGTAATCATAGTCTTTTCCTAGGAAGTTGTGAAGTTGTTACTGTTGTTATTTTTAGGTCCTAATGGAAGGTGGATATTCGACGTTACAGACGATGATCCGGATAAAATTGCCGTTCTAAAAAACGAATCAGAGTGTCTGAAATTTAGTAAAAATGACACAATACGAAAATGGATAGCGAGACAGCGATTGTTATCGTACGCATGCCCATGTGTCCAGCAGCAGATGGACCTCGATTACAGTTACCATATTGTGGAACCAATGTACGAGCATTCGAGTCCTAAACCAACGTGCTATGAGGCGTGGTTCTTTAACAATGATGGCGTGAAGCAGACATGTTGTTACAGGTATATATTTGTTCTCTTTTTGGAAATTCTTTTACAAGAAGGAAGTTATTAAATATAAGTGCACGAATGGCTATGTTTAAAAATAACTAATCTTTATATCTTTAATATCTTAGTCAAAATGATGTAATTTTAAGTAAAAAAAAGAATACGGAAAGGCAAAATACCATTGAAACGCAAAGGGAAGTAGGGATAGTGACTGTTTTTGGGTTTGACTTTATAAAGACTAACACTAACTTCTTATTTTTTGATGTCATTTGACTCCCGAGCTTTCTTTTTTTCGAGGGATACTCATATGCATGCAAATGGTTAAAATTTAACTTGCGTTTAATATGGCTCTTCCAATCAATTACAAACAACGAGCCAGATATATTTTATGTAAAAGCCTCAAATTAAGATTCTTCATCCAGGGATAGATAAATAAATATTATTCTTCTGTTTGTTCTTTTAAGAACACATATTTAATATTTAATTTTATACTTAAATTTGCACTTGGTGTTATTATGTTATATTTTGCTAAAACGTCTTGACTCGTGTCTGTTACTCCTTGGACATACATGTTTGACCTAATATGCTCGTTCTAAGAATACAATCTGCATTTTAATTGGCTGTGTTGTTATATGGTATCTGTTATATCATGTTCAAATTGGGTAACGTTATCATGTTCAAATTGGGTAACGTAAGTAGCGGATCTTACAAAACGAAAACAAAACTGTAAAAAAAGTTTGTCACTACCTTAAACGATTTTAAATGTGTCCAATGAAGATGATAGCTAGATTATTTAATTATTATGTGTCCTATGCATTTCATTCCAGACATGTTGTGTGTTGCCCTTGTATTTATCAGTTGTTATACATTTGTTATACGTTTGTCAGAAATTATTTGCTTCACTCGCACTGTCTTTAAGCTTCCAAGATACGCTCTTGGAAATGAAAAACTAAACACTGGCATACAATTGGTAATAATGATTATTCAGCTTACTTTTTATACTATCTCTTTCATGTGCTTTTAGATTTCTGTCCTAGGATTTTACTTTAAATGTCGCAAGTGTGTCGTAATCGTTACTTTTCAATAAAAAGCATAAACTCCTAAAGTCAACACTTATATAAATAATAATAATAATTGACGATCATTTTTAAAGTAACTTAACTTCCTCCTTTGTTTTAACAAAATTGATGCAAAGATAAAATGGCTGATATATGAAAAACTCGATCTCATCTCTTTCATATAATAGGCTTGATTATTATTAAGACTAGCTTGTGATACTAACTTTGTACAGTATCTTTCTTAGACGAAAAGTGTTGTCTTGTGGTATTTTCTAGTCGATCCACTCTATGTATTTGCACGCACAGTGCTTGTGGTTAAAGTTTGAAATAAGACACTGCACACTGCCTGCTCACAAATGTCAGAACTGAAAACTTAAGGGCACATAATGCTTCAGAAATCCGTTGTTTGTTTTTTCATTCATTAGAACTGTCAAACATGTGTTTAATAATGTTTAAATGATAGATTTATAGCAAGTAAGATGTAAAACAACTTAAGAAAGTAACCCTAAACATGCAGAAATATGTCATAAATGAAACAAAATGTAAACGAAAACATATTCACTATAATTATACTATTTGCCAAATAATCTTCAGAAGCAAACGATTGTTTTTAAGATCCTTTTAAGCATTGCTCACATGAAGGAAAACGTTGACCATGTCTGAAATGACTAGCTTTAAAAGACAAGTGTCTTCGTCTGATGCTATGCTGAATGAAATGCGTGCGCATGCTTGACCGGAAGGCGACAGTAAGACAGTAAAGTGCAATGGGGACAGTACGGCATAACGATGGTGATAATATGACAGTATGATGGTGAAGCGACAGTACGATGGTAACAGTACGATAGTACAATTGTGACAATATAATAGGCTGTCACCATCGTACTGTCGTGCTTCGCCATCGAATTGTCGTATTGTCGCGTTTTCAATCGAACTGGCATACTGTCACCATCGTAATGTCGTACTCTACGGTTTTTTCTTAAAGAAAACGTACTGGCCAAAATGGAACACCGTAGTTTCCAGCGTTTGTACTATAATACAAATAATGCAAATCTTTATGTTTTTCATTTTGCCAGCATATTTTGCAGAAAGATACAGAATACAAGGAGGTCATAAAAACTGTGTAATATTCAAGCTTTTTGAAGTTGTTACTGATTTTTTTTTGTTTTAGTTATGGAGCTTTGAAGAAAGATTTTATAGGAGGTGGTTTTGCAACTTTCGAGCCAGACACTTACAATATTATTCAATATTTCTACATGTGCTGCGACTCAAATAATGATAGACACCTGTGTCGTCTTTTTTATGAAATGAATCCGCCTGATGACTGTTCTAGATTTCAACCTGCGGACGAACCCGTTAGCAGACACAAGCGTTCATTCTTTGGTTTCTGGAACAACGGGGCTTGCAAATTATGTTTAAACGATTTGTATATGATTGTTTTACTTGTATTCGTACAGATAATTAACTAACAGAAACAATATACGTTGATGGTTCGTTTTCATTACTGATAGAAACGTATTTATTTCATTAGACTGGAAATTAAATTTTGTTTAGAGAGATAAAAGAAGTATTTTGATAATAATATGACAGCTTTCAAAAACCTTTTCCTACTGGACAAATATACCTCTGTCTTAAAAATATAGTTTCGTCCGTGTATTGAGAGTGTATAATTTTTTTACTAACGGATTTACCAAGAAATTGCATTTCTAGTAGTATCAAAATTTCACGTCTAATAAATGAAACTTCGCTGATTTTCTGGACATAAAAGGACTGGAATCAACCATGTTTTTAAATATGTGTACCATTTAATGTCTGGATAAAATACAGACGAACAAAATCATTCATTCAGTCCGTTTTTCCAAAATAATAATTTGTATTGTGCAAGTTGACCCGAAAGAAATATATGAAAAAAGCTTATAAACGCCTCCACTCAATTCATGCTCAGAATAATACAATTATCAATTATGATTTCTTTCCTAGTAAATTGTCATTATCTTGTATGTATTAATTGGTTTGAACCCATTGGAGTTTCTTTGCTTCAATTTAATTTTAGATACAATTTTCCTGCTGGTTTTCACTTTCTTGCATTGTTTTCTTCATAATTTAATAAATTGCTGTAAATCTCACATGTTGGTATTGTTGCAGGATTATAAAAAAAACAATTAAGATAAGTTCACATAAAAAGACAACTATAGTTCTAATAATAGCTAACATGTGTAATGTGGGTTTATGAGAATCATAGAATCTTCGAAACATAATACTTTAAGGCATTATAAACGGTTATATTATCCATCACTTATTTTGTAATGCTTATTTCCCATACAAAAATGGGTTTTAATACAGATGTACCACATAACAAAAATGTGACAAAAACCGGTCTGTTACTTTTTAACAACAAAACATGTGGACATGTGGTTTATTTATAGCACACCTGACCACAAAGTGGTCAAGGTAAGGTATAGTGATGGGGCTATGTCAGGCGTTCGTCGTCGTGCGCTGTCAATATTTGGATTGTTAACACTCTAGCAGTCACAGATTTCATTTGATAATCAAACTTTGTATGAATGTTTTTCTTAATAAAATACAGGTCAAGTTTGAATATGGGTCATTTCGAGTAAAAAAACTAGGTCACAGGGGCTAAAAATAGAAAAATCTTGTTAACACTCTATTGGCTGCAGTTTTGATTCAATTATCTTGGAAATAAATAAGGAAGATTATTTGAATGCTTTCTAGGTCAAGTTCGAATATGGGTCATCTTCGGTCAAAACCTATGTCACAGGAGCTAAAAATAGAAAAAATCTTGTTTACACTCTAGTGGTTGCAGTTTTGACCCAAATATTTTGGAAATTGGTCAGGGAGATTGTTTGATAATTTATATGTCAAGTTTGAATATGGGTCGTCTCGGGTCAAAAACAAGATCACAGGAGCTAAAAATAGAACAATCTTGTTAACACTCTAGTGGCTGCAGTTTTGACCAAAAAATTTTGGAAATTGGTCAGGAAGTTTGTTTTATGACTCCTATGTCAAGTTTGAATATGGGTCGTCTCGGGTTAAAAACTAGGCCACAGGAGCTAAACATAGAATAATCTTGTAAACACTCTACTGGCAACTGTTAAGATCAAAAAAAATCCTGATAGATGGTGTGAAAATTTGTTTTGATGATTTCTAGGTCAAGTTGGAATACGGGTCACCTGGGGTCAATAACTAGGCCACACCGCTTGAATATGGAAAAACTTTGTTAACACTCTAATGGTTACATTTTTGATTCTATTGGCATGAAAATTGGTCAGGATACGACTTGTCTTAGTTAATGCTCGGATGAGTTCGATGGGTCAGGTGAGCGATCTAGGGCCATCACAAGTTAATTTTGTTAGTTTGTTTGTTTGTTTAATTTGATTTTACGTCACACAGACACAGTATAGGTCATATGGCGACATTCCAGCTTTACTGGTAGAGGAAGACCTCAGACGACCTTCCGTGCATTATTTTAGGCACGAACGGGCACCTGAGTAAAACCGCCGACGTTCCGTTAGCTAGCTGGATATCTTCCTCACATGAAAGAATCCAAAGTCCCAGTCTGGATTCGAAACACAGCGGTGAGGGGCAAGTGTTTTGAAGTCACCGACCTTTACCACTCGGCCACGGACGCCCCTCACAGTTTAATACTATAAACAGAATATGAATAGTTTCACAATTAAATTAACATTTTTTATTTCTTGATATACACACTAAGGGTGTGCTGCTTTAAAAATTTAAATGTTGTAAGTTTTTCTCTGCACTTTAAGATTACACTAATCATAAGCATCCATTAGTAGGCAATATTCAGTACTGTAAGACAGCTCAAATATATTCTTAAGTCTGGTACTGTAACAAACTGAAACGTATTAGGCCGACACTGTAAGAAGTTGAATTGTAATAGCTGGCCGCCTTTATAACCGACATTGTAATAGCATTGCGCTTTTAGCAACACGAAATTTAATAGATTGGTATTATAAAAACCTTAAATTTAATAGATTTGCTCGGTATCATGCTTAGTGTTGTCGTAAAGACGACGTTACGTTAGCGGGAACGGCAGGCAAACTTTACGTTGGCGGAAAGAAGAGTTTATACGACGTCATTTACGTTGTATTGTTATTTTACCGTTTATAAACATTATTATTTTAGACACAACGCAAAGTAGTTGCTTCTTATTTCACTGACAAAAACAGAAATTATGGATATTTTGAGAATTAAGAAGAGAAGAAGTGCACAAAAGGCTGTGATAACACGTCCACTCTGCAACTTAGAAGAATATGCGGGCGATAATACGCACTTTACTACCGTTCTTGAAACTCTACGCAACAAACTTATGGCGCTGGAAGAGATCAACGAGCAGATAATGTCACAGGTAGATGAGGTAGACATGGAAACCGAGATGCTCGAAACAGAGGACTTTATGCTGGAAGTTCGGCTACGCATTGGAGATTTGGAGGCTCAACACCGCGCTGCCATGGAGATCACCCGTTCCCCACAGACTACCATTGAGAATACCACACTTGAGGAGCCCCTAAATAGTAACAACCATGGGACAGCACACCCCGTGCACAGTAACGCCGTTGGAACTTCCGGGAACCGAAATAATAGCACATCGGCTAATAACGTAAGTGACATTTCAATTCAGTCTGCCTCACAGTTTCATAAACTTCCGAAGCTTACATTACCAAATTTTACTGGAGACATTTTAGAGTGGCAAACATTCTGGGACTGTTACAAATCAAGTATACATAACAACATGTCACTATCTGAGGTCCAGAAATTTTGCTATCTGTAAACTCCGGCGATACTGCCAGTGTGATTGATGGTTTGAATGTTACACATGGAAACTACTAGTATTCAGAAGCTATACATTTACTCAAGGAACGTTTTGGTCAGACACAAAAAGTTATAAATGCGTACATGCAAGGTTTGCAGGATTTACCAGGACCAACTTCCCAACTGTCCAGTCTAAGACCGTTTCAAGAAAAGATGGGGGCATAAATCCGTGGTCTACAGTCCCTAGGTCAAGGTCATGAGTCCTTTGGCAATTTACTCATACCGGTCATACTTAAAAAACTTCTTGCGGAGATCAAGTGGAACATGACACGCGACCATGGCGGGAGTGAATGGTCACTTCCGGAACTTAGGAGAGCGTTAAATATGGAGATCAATATTTATAAAAGACTCAGGACAGCCAACAGAGACTACATATCAAGGGCTCGGCGCAAGACTATTGTAACTGCCAATTTTCTCAAAATTTACTTTTTTAAATGTTTGTGTAAATTTTTTTTAATATACATGTCCAGTTTTGTAGGAAATGTCCACAGTCTTTTTTTATATACTACAAAATTGCAATACTAGAGTAACTCAAAATGATTGTTTTCTTAGTGGCAAGACTATGGTTAGTTGACTTACGATAGTCTTGCATTTGAAAATGTCATAACTTGTTTATTATTTCAAATGCAAGACTATAGTAGTTCAACTTGCTATAGTCTTGCATGTGAAGTTAAACCAAAGTTGCAAGAGTATAGTAAGTCAAACAAGAACATGCTAATGATGTCATAAATGATATAATACTGAGAAGAAACTTGTGAAGCTTCAGCAATGTATGGGAAACAACATAAAACTAGAGGAAAACAGAAATTGAAAGGGAGCTAAAATCTGGTAAGAATTAAAATATTTTGTAAATCTTATTTAATTTAGATTATGCAGCAACAGTTTTCAGCAATGTATTGGAAACAACATAAAACTAGAGGAAAACAGAGATTGAAAGGGAGCAAAAATCTAGTAAGTATGAAAATATTTTGTAAATCTTATTTAATTAGGTTATGCAGCAACAGTTTTCTGAGCTTTATTATTTTGCTAAAATAAATTTAAGAATTTTCCATGACTTGTACAATTTGTATCTATTTTGCTTGCTTGTAGTGCTAGACCAGTCAAAGTCCATTGGCGTGCTTTATTGACAATGTGAGCTTCTATGTTCAGCCTTTGTCCATCATCTGTCTCCATAAACATTATATGCCCCTGAAGGGACGCATATAAATTTACACTGTCCGTTCGTCCCTCTCTCTCTCTGTGTGTGTGTGTGTGTGTGTGGTGCGTGTGTGTGTGTTTGTGCGTGCCAGTGTGTGTTGGTGTGTGTGTGTGTAAGTGCACGCGTGCATGCATGTGTGGCTCCAAACATAAAGTTTGAGTCTAAAATTTTAATGCTTACATTTACATCCATTAAACTTCATAGTCTGATACACCTTACTTAGCACTACATGTCACACCCAATTTTAGGTCAAAAGGTCAAGGTCACAGGGGGCATACACAGCTTGGGGAAAAATGGGCCTTTACATCTGCAACCATCAAATATCAAAGTCTGATTTGGGTCAAAGGTCAAGGTCACAGTGACATAGACAAAAGCCCAATTATGGGTAAAATGGGTGTGAAGTGTTAATGCATACATGTACAACTATCAACTTTCGACGTTTGATGCATTTTCATGAGTACTACTTGTCACACCATATTTTGTGTCAAAAGGTCACAGAAACATAGACAGAAACATATTAAAATATATTATATTTTTGTCATTTAGAACACAACTTTGACTTTATCGAAAGATTTTGTCAATGGAGGAAAACGGCGATAATCTTGAAGTTTATTTCGGCTGTTGCGTGTTGTTTATATTACCGTTGAAGTTTAAAATTGACCATCATCGTGAAGAATTATATCTTCTGTGTCGATGGACCATAGAATTATGTGAAAATATTGGAAATGGAATAAAATACATGGTGTTTATAACGGTAGGGGTGCGGATTTTTTCCGGAGAACATTTTTATCTTGTGTATTATTATAGATGTTGAAATATGATTTTTTTCAAAACGGCTTATATTAAGTTTTTTTTATATATATGATCCGTACATGTGCTGGGATTGACAAATATGCATTTTATTTGGATTTTAAAGGCGTTTTGAGCTCCAAACCCCAAGTGTCTGTGATTTTGAAGGGTAAAAAAACTTCATAGACTGCAACCACACTGTATTGACTGGCACAAGCCTAGCAGTACAATGTAATCTTGAACATCTGAAAGTCATCACAGCTATCACTATAAAGACCGACTTAAAAA